TTGATCTGTATACGTGTCCTGTTAACTGTTGCCTTCATTGTGGTCTTGGCCAGTCCAAACCCAATGAACTAGAACGTGTATTCTTTAGAGAGAATACGTGTCCTGTTATTGACTGTTGGTGTCAGCATGGTCTTGGCTAGCCCAAACCTAATATGCATTCTCTTTGTAAACTCAGAGAACTTGTAACAACACACTCAAAGCATTTGGACTGGCCAAGATGACGACAAGCAGATGGCAAAAGTAGAAGGGACAGTCTTTGCAGAAGAGGACACAGGAAACGTGACAATTCGGAAATATCCGAAAATGACATACTTCCGTTGCGGGCTACCTTCAAAATCAAAGGTAGCCCGCAAGGGAAGTATGTCATTTTCGGATACTTCCGAAAACTCAACGTCAACTTCTGCTTGCTAAGTACAAACTCTGTTGTCATCGTCTTGGTCAATCCAAATGCAACACACATAATGCCACATCCAAAGCAGGTGGTCTGCTGTGCACTTTGCTGTCTTGCACTCTTCGTTGTCTTGGCCAGTCCAAACGATTTGTGCAATGTATCTATCTACCACATCTTGTCTGTTTTCTTTGCACACTCATTGTTGTCTTGGCCAGTCCAAACAATTCAAGTGCCACGTCAAAGCAAGTCTCTTCATAAACTCAAAGAACGTGTTACACACGATCAGGCAGTGGTCTATATATGGTGATACCATCAAAACAGATCAGAACACATAAATTAAAGTTTTAGATCTCAGTTATCGGATCTTATTCTTTTGACACATCACAGATTCCTATGACGCACAAAACTTTCCCCCATCAAATGATCGGGAAATGTTCATGCGTCATCATTTTTCTAACCTGCTCATGTGGCTGTGTGTAATTCAGTTTATTGGTGGAATGGTACATTGCTGTCTTGGCTAGTCCAAACACAACGAAAGTTCTCTGTCAATACCCCTTCGATTTTCATGATCTTAAACTCGTTCAGATAGTCCCACACTCCGTGAAGATGCTCCCCAAAACCGTTTACGAAACGGTTGAGGTCTCGTGGAGCTAGGTCAGTTTCCATTTTCGCTCTTTTGCCCTTATGCTCACAACTCCCCAGGACCTCAATCTGCTTCGTTTTCTGTGGTCAAGGGCTCGTTCGGATACCCCCACGCTCCGTGAAGACGCTCCCCAAAACCATTTACGAAACGGTCAAGGTCTCGTGGAGCTAGGTCAGTTTGCATTTTCGTTCTTTGGCCCTTATGCTCACAACTCCCCAGGATCTCAATCTGCTTCGTTTTCTGTGGTCGAGGGCTCGTTCGGATAGCCCCACGCTCCGTGAAGACGCTCCCCAAAACCGTTTACAAAACGGTCAAGGTCTCATGGAACTAGGTGAGTTTGCATTTTCGTTCTTTTGCCCTTATGCTCACAACTCCCCAGGACCTCAATCTGCTTCGTTTTCTGTGGTCGAGGGCTCGTTCGGATACCCCCACACTCCGTGAAGACGCTCCCCAAAACCATTTACGAAACGGTCAAGGTCTCGTGGAGCTAGGTCAGTTTGCATTTTCGTTCTTTTGCCCTTATGCTCACAACTCCCCAGGACCTCAATCTGCTTCGTTTTCTGTGGTCGAGGGCTCGTTCGGATACCCCCACACTCCGTGAAGACGCTCCCCAAAACCATTTACGAAACGGTCAAGGTCTCGTGGAACTAGGTGAGTTTGCATTTTCGTTCTTTTGCCCTTATGCTCACAACTCCCCAGGACCTCAATCTGCTTCGTTTTCTGTGGTCGAGGGCTCGTTCGGATACCCCCACACTCCGTGAAGACGCTCCCCAAAACCATTTACGAAACGGTCAAGGTCTCGTGGAGCTAGGTCAGTTTGCATTTTCGTTCTTTGGCCCTTATGCTCACAACTCCCCAGGATCTCAATCTGCTTCGTTTTCTGTGGTCGAGGGCTCGTTCCGATAGCCCCACGCTCCGTGAAGACGCTCCCCAAAACCATTTACGAAATGGTTGAGGTCTCGTGGAGCTAGGTCAGTTTGCATTTTCGTTCTTTTGCCCTTATGCTCACAACCCCCCAGGACCTCAATCTGCTTCGTTTTCTGTGGTCGAGGGCTCGTTCAGATACCCCCACACCCCCTGAAGAGACTCCCCAAAACTGCCTATGAACTAGTTGAGCACTCTTGGATGTATGTTACGTTCTATTTTTGTCTTTTTGTGCTCATACCCACCAACTGCCCAGGACCTTCTCATGGCTCATTTTGCATAGCCTTGGGCTCATTAGGATACCCACACACTCTGTAAAAATATGCCACAAAAGTTGTCATGACCTTAATTGTTATATCTTTAATATGAAGAAGTATAGTTACATAAATGTGAAAATGGAGGCAATAAATTCATATATTAGAGTCTGACAGCCAAGTAGAGCAATACATTAGCTACCACCTACATCAATGACAACATGGATAGGACTAAAAGCAGGTGATAACTAAGAAATAGTAGAGCAGACTGGCAAAGTCGTCAATGTTGAGCAGGCAGCTGATCGTGGGAATAAATCACTTTCGTGGGAGAAAGTCAAATTTCAGCGTTACCGCGCTGAAAAAAGTCCTGAGATCCTGGGTAATGAACGAGTCTCTTCGTAAACTCAGAGGACTCGTAATGCCTCATGTGAGCTTGATTCCAATGTTATTGATGCTTGTTTATCAGCAGCATGCAAGATTTGAAATTACACAAATTGGCTGCTGGCTGTTCATCAAAACATGGATTGTCATATCAACAATGCACTGTGTAAGTTATTATTGCCCTATTTCAGTCCAGATGCATCCTGCTCATTATTATATAACACATAATACTACAATTTAAGTAATTAAATCCTCTGGAATATTACCTTTTTTCTGCATTTTGATTGATGTAATTTGGAGTAGATATGACAGTGTGAAGCGTTCACTCTGAACTTCTCGCATAGCTGAAGCCAAGAGGGAAGGAGGAGGCAAGAATGGGTGGATCTGGGATCAACACCCATGAGTGAGCAATGAGCAGTTACAAGATACTCAGCTGGCCCAACATGATTATGCATACTGTAGGAAGTACAGATACACAAAGCACTACATGTAGTGCAAGAGGATGGCAAGACTGCTGACAAGATGGTGGTTCAAGACAAAAGATCAATATATTATGTAAGATATCCAAATCTAGCTATATACCACTGTTTGACTATGGCCTCTGGGCATTCCCTTCCAATCCTATATCACAGACAGAGTTACAGTATTGTCTCTCTGAATTGTTGGTATAACCTGGGTGATGACATGTCAATTATGTAAAACATACTCCTAAATTTTACATAATCGAAATGCATGAACTTCAGGGTAGATCTGGCAGAGTTACAGTATTTTCCTTTGGAATTGCTAATATGACCTGCAGTGATGACGTCACGAGGATCTCTTGTGCCTTGCAATGATGCATGAACATTTCCCATCAATGTGATCGGGAAATGTTCGTGCGTCATCATTTTCCTTGGTGTGCCATCGCTTAGTCATCATTTTTAGTGAAAATGAAGATTTACCTGTAGTTCTGCCAATTCTGGTCCAAATGACATGTTTTTTTTTGTGGTATGCACTCCTTAATTGCAGAACTATTCTAAAATGACAATGGATGTAGACAAATACAAATAAACAGTCCACAATCCAAAACATTCAACATTTTCAATGTATTTTTGACACTCATGATCATGTTTGTATGACCATGGTTTGAAAATATTACAAATATATTTATAGATTCTACCAAATACTTCCAAATATATATATACCCTTCATCACATGATGTTGCTTACTCATCTCTTTGGGGCTAAAGTAAAGAATTCTCTGTAGCTCTGCGAACTCTGGTCCAAATGACATGGTTTTTATGAGCAGCACCCCTTAATTGCAGAACTTTTTTAAAATGATAATGGATGTATACAAATACAAATAAATCGATTATAATCCAAAACATTCAACATTTTCAATGTCTACTTTATGGTCATAATCATAGTTTACAGATTCTATGAAATACTTCCAAATATATACATACCCTTCATCACATGTCATCATTTGATTATAAACAAATACAAATAATTAGTCATACAATAAAATGTGTAAAACAATTAACTTATCATGACTATATATTACTTATCAAAAGTATATATAGTCTATGAGGCTAGATTTATTTGCAAAAATGGTATCAACCCAAAAATAGCTAAAGAATAGTAGAGCAATCAGAAAAAGTTGGAGGGTGTCCTTACCAGTAGTCATAACATTATATATTGTGTTTACAGTCCATAGTGGACTTCCAAATATGGTAATCTATCGGAAAATAGTCATAAAATAGCACAAATTTCAGAGAAAATTGGAGGATATTGCTTTACTGTTAGTGATAATGTTATGCAACAGTTAGTTAATATAGTACTCAATCTACATATTACTATAAAATGAGCAAAAATTAGGAAAAACATAGAAATGTTTCTTATCATTGTGGAACCAATACTTGACATAGTGATCGCTCAGGTAGTGGGACAGTCATTGGAATGCCTAGTGGACTACAATGATCAAAGGGGTGAGGACTCACCAAGTTGGTCTAAACAGCTTAGTTGCATGCTCAGAATCATAGAATGTGACTGTTCAGCACTGTCATACTCTGATCTCCACAAACAGTCCCAGTGGAGATTGTGACAATGAAGTTTTTGATGTCTGACTGCTGATCTCTCAAAGCTTGAAGTAAAGCTATTGGTAGGGCTTGAGTATCCAAGTGATATAAGAGGTACAAGTGGTGGCAAGAAGATATCATTTCTTTATGTACACAAGGTAAATTACAGTGATTACATAAAGCGTAATGTGTGGTGATACAACGAATGAAGAGTGGGCATATGGGTCAATCAATGGAGGCAAGTCTCAGGAGGTAGAAAGGGTAGATAGGTAGGATAGGTAGGATACTTACTAGCATGCTACACATTGATGATGATGCTAGAGTACCCTGTTTAGAGTCTAGGGCAATAATGGCCTTGGAAATGAGGACTCGTTCCTGCCATGCTTGCAATGGCCTCTTACACAAGTTTTTTACTTACTACTATATTAGAGTGACATGGTCGTCAGCTAAAAGATACTGACCAACTTCCTCTTGCAGTGCTGACTTGGCTTAGTGGTTGAGCTGGGAGGTATGCCCTGGGTTCAAATCCCAGAAGTCACATAGAGCGAAGACGGCCTTTTTGTAACGCTGGCTAAAATTTACTAATCCAAGGCTTGTAACATCCAAAGTCCCAAGAACGGGTAGTTGTCTTAGTTGTCTTATGCCGAGAACGGGTGACTTACAAAGTGCCGAGCTTGGATGCCCGGGTTCAAATTGCAGGCAGGTAAAAGATACTGGCCACGATCGTCTTCCAACGTTGGCTTGGCTTCGTGGTTACGCTGGGAGGGTACGTCGTGTATGTATGCCCTGGGTTCGAATCCCACAAGTCAGTTACACCTATCGCAACTCTTGTTAAAATTTACTAATCAATGCTGGTTTGACCGATGTTGTCTCGGATCATGAAAATTTGAACTGCAAGTTCTGCCTGGTCTGCCTCTGCTTGGCTGCTAAATTAAAGGCCAAGCTGAAAACGATTCGGCTTGAAAATGCCGGCCTCAGTGATGCATCGGCTGATGAGATGTTCATAAATTCTCGTGTCTGGCCGACTCGGTGATATCCATGAACCATGACTACCATGTGGGTCTCGCCAGCTGACCCTGGTAACCAGAGTTGAGGGCCCTCGGCTGACCACCAACCCAGGCGAATTCAAAATGTCTGCCGACCTTGCATAGCCTAGCTGCTAATCAGAAGTGAAGGCCCTCGGCCGATCACCAACCCAGCAACGTTCACAACTGTCAGCCGACCTTGCATCTTCCATCAGCCGATATACAAATACAATGTTCAAAACTGTCAGCTGACCTTGCATAGCTTAGCTATCAGCCGATATACAAATACAGGGACTTGACTTCCTGGGGCAGCTTCCTACTGATCGGTGTATGCTAAATCTACATAGCTGGCCGACCCTTCTTTACCTTGATAGTGGGATCACATCGGCCAATTCATCAACACAGGGTTATTGGCCCTCATCGGCCCATCAGCAGGCACCATCAACTATGGCCTGTTTGTATTGTTGGGCCTCTCAGTGTTGGTGGGTGATTCCTACTAACTGCCCTGTGCTTCGAGCGCAAAGAACCAACCACATTTGTCTTGTGGAGGAATGCACTGGGTTAGCCAAACCTGCCATTTCCTCTTTGTTACACACATGTTAAGCATTACCATGCACTTATGTCAACTTCCACTTCGTAGTAATGCCTACAACGTATTCTGTAGATAAAATCCAGACTATGCAACCTGAGGGACCAGAGGGTAAGTGATTCATCATTGATGGCAGATGTCTCATCTAAGACAAACACCATGATGAACATGAGAGTACTACTGCCAATTTGAGCAATAATGAAGCAACAAGCTAAGTGCTGTGAGCCCAAGCTATAATACAAGCACAATCCATGACATGTGACAGCAATGCAATATGCTGACAAAGCATACCATGGATCAATAACACTGTGGAAATACCGAGGACTCAATGTGCAGCTTCCAAGGGTGGGGGTAGCAAACAATTTGAGTAGTGAGGGAGCAGTGGCATCCCTACATCACTGTCACTCTTGTACATCTATATAGTAAGTATATTTTAGTAGAAAATATGATGAGAACTACGAGGCCTTCAAATGTGGGAAGAAATCATTTTCATGGGAAAAAGTCAAATTTCAGCATTACCACACTGAAAAAAGCCTTGAGATCCTGGGTAATAAACAAGTCTCTTTGTAAACTCAGAGGACTCATAACAATTTTGTGTGAGATTTGGATTTACAATCCAAAAAGCTGGACAAAAACATTTTTTTCATTTGGGAATCAAGGAAAAATATTATCAGAAGGATACAAAAAAGTTATCAGAGGTCTGGAGACTTTGAAAAATGTTCGAAATGATGTGCGTGCATCACTTAAACAAGAAAATTCAGATTTATTTCCAAGTGGACAAATGGGGACTGATATCTGTGATTTAATCTCATATATTTTTACTTCACATCACAATATTAGCTTGGGCTACCGTAGAGTATCATGTGATACATGTGGTTTTTTTCAAGACTTGGATAATCCACCTGAAAGAGTGATGTCAATACTTGATGGAACTTACAAGTCAATTAACTTGTGGGTGTGGGCCAGTGCTTTGCATGGCATGTATGAGTCCTTCCTGTGGACTCTAAATTTAGCCCTGAGCATACCCACTTCAATATCATGGCAACCATGGGCACTATTCTTATTTTTCAGCCTTTCTTTTGTTAAATTTTCTAGCAATTCTTTCTGATTTTATGACTATTTTTCTGATTATGGTAAAATGTTCCCACAGTCTTATTTGCATATATCTGAGAAAAGAAGATAGCTAGCTACATTCTGTCTGTAACAACATACTCTATATACTTGTGGCTAATTTGCTTTTTTGGTCAAAATTCCCATGGTACCAGAAGCACAGCCCCTCACTTAGCTCTACACTGCCATTTGGGCCCCAGAGTGATGGCAGAATGCCGAAATTCCTGATTGGCATCAAACCTCTCCCCTGTCAGCTATCCAATTGACAGCTGTTGGGCAGCCTGCCAGATCCCAGCTGGTAGCTAGGAGTTTACTTTGTGGACACCGGCTTTCGTCTAAAGCTGTTCAACAGGGTCACCCACAAATTATGATACCTCCACATTTCTCACTAAAGTACCATGTTTTATGAAGTGCATAGTATCTAGCACCTCTTAAACCATTAAATTTATATTTTCTCATATCACCTTTGGAACAACTTTAGCGAAACACACTTGACAAAGTGTGGGAAATATGTTCATACTCAGCATACTCCGCAGCTTCAAAAAGGGTGCAAACTCTTGTCATCAACCCCACTGCCTCCCTCGTCAAGCTACAACCTCACCACAATCACATGTCTTTGCCACTGCCACCATCATTATTGACCACGTCATGCCTCTCTGCTGTCTCCAGCTCCACACCAACGCCCAACGCATATGACTGGAAAAGTTTGGAGGGGGTCGAGCATTGCCAGCAACAACACCACACCAACCAGCCACGGACGCGAACTTGCTGCCATGTCGACACCCTGTTGACCAACCCCGGCATCATGGTCAACGTCCCCTCGCCTGTCACGTCAGGCTCCCTTGCTTGGTAAGTAAGTGCTCACTGGCACCACCTATAGGGGGCTGCTGCCCTCACTGTTTCATTTGTCCAAACCCTGTCGCAGTAAGTCGCCAACGTCAACCTATGATGTCTACGGTCTGCCTCCTAATGTGTACATTCCCTCTCTAGACTACTTCACCCCTCATGTCACTAACTACTCGCTGTCACGTCACCTCCACCACCAGTCAACGAAGGGGGCACATGGGAGAGAGTACCATGATAGCAGAGAAGGGAGCCATTGGGGGGTAAGCAATACCATATAACTAGCCTCTCCAGTAGCAGTAGTAGTATTGATCAATTGTATATGAATTATCCCCCTCATTGTTATGAGTAAAAAATATCATAAATCTTTCTCAACTATGTGCTTGGATTGAGGTGGGGATTTGAATGGGATTTTCGGGTGGTTGAATACATTGTGGCCATACTATAATACATATCCCCTCTACATAACCACCCACAAGGATGATAGCCAGGATGGTCAGCTGGGAATGGGCTGGACCCAACACGTCTATTCCAGCTAGCCTGGAACCAGACCCCTATTAGTTCGATTTTGAGCTGGTGGCCAGCATCCGTCACACTGGTGACAATGTGGAAAAATATAGTGGACATGCTGCGTGCTCTAGGTTGCTTCCACATCTGGCCCAAATAGTGGTGTATAAACAACAATTGTAGCCTCTTTGCTTAGCTTTACAAATATATATAAATAGTGTCATACAGACTATTTCTCATTGAGAAAAACACAAAATATTGGAAAAATTCAACACTTTTTGAAAATAGCCATATATTATAACCAAGATTTCAATAAGAAGAATGCTAGTCACATGATATAATCACATTTCATAATGTAATACATTTTCTATATTTGGATATAGACCCTGAACCCTAAACACAGCCCCTTCAATATTGTTGTTATTCTTTGCTTATTTTTTTCTAAATTTCTAGCCATTTTTTACTTTGTTCTATATTTAAATATGGACCCTGGACCCCCATGACAAGATAATCTGCACTGAAATACTCTAAAAATATCTTTTGGAAGTTCCTTATTTTTTTTCTGTTTTCTAGTAAAAAACATGTAATACATCTACAAAGATTGTTTTCAATAAATGAAGATTAAATACTTATAAAACATGTTAAAAACATATAGAAACTTACTTGAAAGATATTGGGTCAATTTGAATTGTCTATATATGTATCTCAATATGTTCTACATGTTTTCAAACATATCTTATCAATATTTGACCTTCATTCATTGAAAAGAATCTTTATAGATGTATTACATATTTCTTGGTAGAAAACAGGGAAAAAATAAGGAACTTCCAAAAGATATTTTTAGAGTATTCCAACACAAATTATCTTGTCATGTGTCCAGTGCCTGAACACAGCCTCTTCAACATCATGGCAACAGAGAAGATCACTCTTAATTTTTGGCTATTTTTTTCTGATTTTCTGGCAACTTTTAGCTGGTTTCTATATTTAAATATTGACACTGAACCCTGAACACAGCCTCCCCAACTTACTAAGCAATATTCCAATTTTTTTGGCATTTTTCCTGATTTTATGGCTGCTTTTCTGTTCAAGGAAAAAGGTTCCCACAGTGATGAAAGGTGAATGAATCAATGAATCAATGAAAAATTTGCCTAAGTCCTCAGTTGATAAAGAATGAGTCTTACTTGTAAACTTGTAAGGACTCATAATGAATGGTTGCAACAATGGCTGAGGGAACCAAGCATATGTGATTGTGGTGCTCCAGTGGCAACTTCCCGAATGTATGACCAACCCCCTCCACTTCTTGCACAAAAAGAATCTGGTACATCTACTATTTTCAGTGAAATTTTACATTTTAAACTATATCTTTGTCAGTTTTGAGCCAATTAGTATGTGCTTGGGTGCGTTTTGAAGGATATTTAGTGGGCTACAAAAAACCAGTCCTAACCGGTTAAGACCAGTTCATTTAGACCAGTCTTTTTGCAGTCTTTACTTCTCAAAAATGAAAAGACTGGACCACAGGTCCGGTTTTTTGCAGACTTGGTCCAGTCTGGTTACAGTCTTTTTCCAGTCACGAGACTGGACTTCCAAACACTAGTAGAGCCAGATCCTGGAGCTTTGCTTAGGTTGTAATTGTGAAGTAGGCTGCAGGGCGGCAATGCAGCGGTAGGCTATGGAGCACCCTGGTCAAGGTTTGACAGGCTTGGCAGGGGGGTGACCCACTTCTATTTTGGTTATTCCTGTTTGTTTCATTTGGTTCACCTCTGCACAGGGTCGCATAGGTGTGTCCATGTAGTGATCCTTGACAGAGGGCTTGACTTATGTACTGTACTAATAGGACCATCTCTTCTGGCCCTTTTGGGTGTGACACATTTTGACCATCTCTTCACAACTTCAATATCCGATGTGATGCATGATGAAGAGTATGAGCTCTTTGTCCAAACAGGGGCCATCATCAGTTTGAAATTTAAAACAATGTTGTACATGCAGAAAAATCTTAGATGGTGGGACAATTCTTGTTAGAAGTAGATGAAATATGTTGAGTACTGTTTACATGGCTAGGGTGCCACAGGCACCAGAAAAATTAGAAAAAATGAATATTTTAAAACACAAGGAATGGCTTCAAAAGCCGGTGTGATGTGTGACATCATGCTCACTTCGCTTCCTTCAAGGACCTCTGTGATGTGTGATGCAAAGCCATGGTTGTATTAGTACAGTAATATCAGAGTTGGCATGTAAAAGTAAATCCAAAAAAAGTTAGAATGTAACAACCACAGACACTTTCAATGAAGTAACAATAGCTTCAGATAGACTTAAGCACTGCAAGAAATGATAGAAGAGATAGAGTGTGGTCATAAAAGAAAAAAAGGCCAAGCAATCCATAAGCCATCGAATGGAAAAACGGACAGCCAGCCATGAACATGAATATTTCGGACAATCACCCAGTGTCAAAAATTAAGAGTTGACAATCTAGCAACAGCAGTATCCAGGTCCGCCCGTAGGGCAACTTATCGAATTTGTATTTCCGATGGATAACAAACAATGTCTGTTTGGCACCAAATACGACCACCCTCTTCCTCCCACCACCAACCGTCGCCACCACCGTTCTTCGTGACCACCATGATCCCTTCCTTTCGCCGCCATCCGCATCCGTCACCCACGCCCACCACAATGCGCCACGTCACCCACTGAACGAGGGCCCACACGACAAACACGACATAAGGGAGGGGGAGGGAGTTCCAGGTGGATGCAACCTGGGCAAATGTCCTGGCTGAATGGAAAAGAGAAGTTTACATATCACAACAAATAATAGCTGCAATGGCCTGCCTTACACGACGATCAAAACTCATCATTGACCCCCACAGTGATATCAAGTCAAAGATGTTATGAGTCTTATGGGTAAGGATAAATTATATACACTTGCAGCAACTTTGTAGCATTGAGATACCAGCAGGTTCTTCTCCATACAAAGATACCGAGTGGAGCCTGCTATATACCTATGTACTTTGAACACTGTAAGCATCCGTGAGTTGCATGATCATGCTTTACAAGATTATATCATAAGATATGTAATGTTTTTATGAGTGTTCCTTCTGAATGAACTTGGAAATCGTTTGGAGTTGAATGTTTGACGTCCCTTCGTATATCGCTCCCTGGTCTGAGCGTCAGACATCTGACACCTGGAATAAAAAAATGAACCGCACGCACAATCTTGGAATCCCGCCAGTATTTCTCAATTCCTGTTTCCCTTGTGAACCCAACACCCCCTGCCCATTCAATGGCCTGCCCGGAGACCCGCTGGGCAACCACGCTACTCCAGTACTTGGCCATCGCAGCCTCCTTGGTAAATGTTTTACCTTCCTCCTTTCGTCTGGCAGCATTGTAAGTCATGAGACGGGCAGACTCAATCTCGATGGCAGCTTGCGCTATCTGGAATGCCATGCCTTGGAACGTCCCAATAGGTTGCCCGAATTGTTGGCGTTGATAGGTGTAGGGGACAGCTTTCTCAAAGGCACCTTGGGCAAGCCCCAGCATTTGTGCAGCGATTCCGATCCGACCTATCAATAACATGAGAATGGCATTTCAGTCACGAAGTAGAATAAATTACCTTCATTGAGAATTTCGATGGCAATCTAAAGGTGGGCTTTAGTGATTGGTTTCAATATATATCTGATGGACACGTCACTTTGTATCCCCTACCCTCCCCACCAATAACATTTTCTGCTGGGATCTTGAGGTCGTCAAAGTTAAGTGTGCACGTTGAGGAAGCGCGGATGCCGAGCTTCTGTTCCTTTTTAGCTATTTGGATTCCCATGTCCTTCGTGGCAAGAAAACAGGTGATGCCCTTATAGCCTTTGGTCGTGTCAATCTAAATATCGAGGTTCGAGCGGAAGGCTTAATTATTCAGACAAAAACTCACGTTGGCGAAGATAAGAAAAATTTCAGCCTCGTAAGAGTTTGTGATCCACATCTTGGAGCCGTTGATGATCCAGTTATCACCATCCTTTTTGGCGCGTGTTTGGAGGGCAAACGCGTCTGAACCCGAGGCAGGCTCCGAGAGACAGAATGAGCCCAACTGTTATAGAGAATGTTGGACATGTGAACGTTCGCACTCGGAAAAAATACCTTTGATTGGGCCAGTTGAGGCAGCCATTTGTCTTGCTGCTCTTTGGAACCATACTTGCGGAGAACAGTGTTCACGAGCGTGTTGTGCACGTCACACAGGACAGAGACCGATGGGTCAACCTTGGCGAGTTCCTCGATGGCAATGATGGCAGAGGTAAAAGAAGACTCTGCGCCCCCGTATTCAGCACTCGTCTCGATGCCCATAAGCTGCCGAGGCAACTGGTCAACATAGCCTCGAAGAAAGCTCGGGATTTCTCACGCCCTGTTCATAGAGGCCATTGATAATCAATGGGTCCATTTGTTCGTTCTCATCCATCTCTCGGACCTTGGGCCCAATAACTTCCGTTGCGAAACGCTTGACTGGAACACAAGCATTAAGTTCGAGAGCTGAGGTGGAGGTTGCAGGGAAAAGGAAATACCAGCGTCACGCAGCATGTTTTCCTCATCTGTGAATGTGTCGAGAGATGACGGTCGAAGGTCGGTACGGAAGGATTTCGACGAGGTGAATGACCTAGAGGTTGAAGATCAAAATCTAGATGGATATGCAGTGGCAAACAAATACCTTGTGAAAACCACAGAGCGGGACTTTGTTGAGCGGACGGCGGCCTTGAACATGGTAGCAGTAAAGAGGTAGGAGTACTTTACATTGTGTTATAACTTGAAATTATATTATAAGCGGGGTTCCGGGAGACCGACGTCATGTGATTCTGTTCTTTTACCCGTCACCATGCACCTGCTCGCCCTTCTGGCCCTCTCATCACTGCCATTGGTATACTCCTACTTGAATTCAATTCCTGTTGTAGCCTGGTCCAGGTATTTATCTTTTTAGCGTCTCTCTTCGTTCCACTTTAACCGCCCAATTCAAGTTCGGACGTACTCAGCGGCCCCACAACCTTGGATACAATCCTTACGAATCCTCGTATCTGTGATCACGACGCAATTGTTTTCGTACAACAACCTGGAGTTTGTACTGACAACCATGCTATCCGTTTTATGCTGACCCAAGCTCTCAGCTACATGCCTCTGACCTCCGTACCCTGTCTCCACATACCCACCTTGCCCGCAGTCTCTCCTCATCTCAGTCGTCGAAACAGTTCCCATACGTTCAACAGTTTGACGCGTCTTCCCTAGCTGAATTAATCTCGAGCGATTGCCAATCTCGCCTCCTCCGATACGCCCCTGGCGAACCAAGGATTGTGCTGGAGCATGACATAAAGCACGTCGTGTCTCTCGAAATGCCCCAATTGCTCGATTCAGGCAAGTCCAGGAAAGAAGCCATGACGAAACATGGTATGATTGCCTGCCTTAATCTTCCTTGAAATTGTAATCTAAAAACTCCACTAGAATCAATCCTTGGCCATGAGCTTTCAGCTCTTGCATCCGTTTTTCCCAGTCATCTCATCATTTACGCCGGCGCTTCACTCCCGGCACACTCAAGACGCCAACTGAACGAGAACATGCACGCTGCTGCGAATACCACTCTTCCAGCGGGGGGGATTCTCAAACGATACCAACTCTTGACCCCGGGACTCATCACTGTCCTCCTTGTGACCTTCTTCCTCCTCACTCCCCTCGTGATGTTTGGCATCAACGCATTGGCAAGCATCCAGAATCCACTGCGGGTTGATGCTCCCAAAGGCTTCAACGCACAGGACAAGAAGAATCAATAGATGGACACGGCGTAACTTGTTAGCATTTGAGAATATACAACACAAATTTGCCGAATTAATTACAATACGACGATAGCGATAGCGAGATTGGGGGAATAACGTACAAAGGTATAATGTTTTGGACGTACAAGATCTAGAGAACCAGCAATGAACAAGAACGAAAAGAAATGCAAGACTTAGAAGTGTTTAGGAATCAACGACGCCGTCTAGCCTGTCCCAATCCCGATCCAAAGATATGCGCATCGCATCCACGGCCGCCAGGTGGAATGGTAAAAGCGGGTTGGCGTCTAAATTCCATCTTATTTTCGACAGAACAGCAAGGTCATGAAAGTTTCGTGTGATAGCAACGTGTAGCTTGGATTCGTCGGGCAGGGAGACTGAGGAAGAGTGCGGGGATTGAAGCGTATGAAGTAGATATATGTGGAGCATGCTGACAGACGTTTGGGATGGCGTATTGGGAATGCGAATGAGAGTTGATGTAGAGCGTGGAATAAATGCTAACCGATGAGGTTCTTGGTCTGTCCGTAGAGTGGCTACGCAATCGGAATTGAAATTATGGTATTGTGATGCCGGTATTGAGTTGACGAAAAGCGGAGATGCAGCTGGTGAGGTGGGATTTGCTGGGGAAGGAGGTTCAGGAACGAAGGACAATGAGACCCCGAGATTCTTGTACGAGGCAGCAAGCGACATCGGCATTTGACTCGTCGGGAAGATAGCGTACGTCGTTGCGGAGACATCAGTCAATATGACCTGGTGCTTGGTGGAGGAAGATGGGCGGTGTTGGGCCGTCCGACGAGATGGGGAGGAAGGATTGACCCGAGAGGTAACAAATGACCAAGGTGCATCTGGTTCCACGGATATAATGGAGGCATGCAGAGGAGGTATTGACAGCTCCAAAGCAGTGGTTAAATGCTCAGTCCAAGCTAGCAGTCAAAATCAGTGAAAGAAGTGTCAAAATAAGCAAACCCTTACCATGCATTTCACTTTCCTTCATTGTCCCAAGCTTTGATATCACTAACCTCCACTCTGTGTCTGCCCTTCTGGCAAATTGCATGAAAAAGTCCCAAACTTTCCTAACCATGTAGACTTCATCGGAAATCTCCGTTTCACCCTCCTGCTCGCTGGGGGACTGTGTGAGCCACACATTCAAGTCGTATGCCTCACCCCTTTCATCGGTGCATGCCGCCAGAATCCACTTTCCACAAGCGGTGACATGGTATGCGACGTGGAGCATGGTGTAACGATCTACAACATCCAACGAGGCATTCGCCGAACGTACAAATGTCACTTTGCTGTAGAGTGGCCTTGCGAGTGTGAAAGTGGGTTCCTGAAAATAGCGTCGAGTGTATGGCCCTTCCCCATGAATTGACCTTGACATGAGGCGATCGATTGGAATGGAAACGCGATTGTATATGGAGGAACACAAAGCGTCCATGTGAAACTCAGTTGTGCATGATCTCTCCATGCCTCCTAATACATACTGCTCAGGAATGAACTGGAATATTATGTTCTTGTCTGAACAATTTTCGAGTGTTTTTTTAGACGCAGACAGAACTTGTCGAAGGATGGGAGACACCAATGTCATGATAGTCGCAGGAAGTACAATGAAAACCACAACGGGCCTTTCAGATAAATCAAGATTCCCGATGAAGGATGCTGTGTCAAAAGTCAGATAGGGTGATGATTGGATGAGATGGCTGATTCACCAAGGCTCTTGCGAAAGGTTGAATCGTACCGCAAGGTCACAAGACCATTGACGAAGCAGTCGGGACCTGGGTTCAACGTACCAAAATGTTTCCCCTGTAAAGAGCATCAGGCGGTCGTTAACTTCGTGAGGGACGAAAGGAAACGCACCCGATAAGCAGCCACGGTCCTTTCCAACCAACTTTCTACCTGTCTTTCACGCTGCTCTCCACCATCTTCGAAAAGAACATATCCCAAGATGTCTTTTGGCCCCCCTTTCGGACCAAGGCCAAGTTTTTCCCAGAAGTGGAGGGCAGGGGGCAGAATATGAATCACCGCTTCGCCTTTCCCAACGGTGATCATAGGAGCCTCGAGTGGGTGGAAAGTATGGGGACGGGCACTGGATATCTCTGATTCCACAATTAGTTGGTGACTTCAGGGCATAATTCAACAATGACGGAAACTGACCAAGACCAAAGAGAGAGGCCACATCAATGAGCCCTTCGAGATTGGGAGCATCTTCGAGAAGTTCAGCAACAGCTCTGATGTCTGCCGCCCACACATCCGACGCATCTTTCGGTCCTGTATTGGCGCGCCAAGCCTCTGCCCAAAGTGGGTTTTCCACAACCTCCGCAGCTATCGCAAATGCTGCAGCCTCCAACGACTTAGACTTTTCCGAAGCTGCGCCCATAGTGACTGCTGGGGAAACAGGCGTTGGTACCGACGGCAAAGGTGCTGATGCTGTAAGATTCGTAGGTGCCACAGCTGCACCGGGAGGGCGGAGGGGCACACTGAGGGGAAGTAACTCTGAATGATGGAACTGAGTATGAAGCAAACTTGGCCCGAGTGGAAGATAGGCAGGTGGAGGTGTTACAGGTCTTGACATGAGAGGGCTTTCATTGTCACCAACGTCCCCGTCCTCAGACTCTAACTCCGATTGATCGTCCACCCCCTCTTCATCGTTTGGTAGCTCCCAATCCTCATGGGATCGAATCCACAGGGACAACTTCCCGCTACGCCTTTCGGTATGACCAAAAGGGGTTTTGCGCTTGACACCAATGAGTTTACGGACGACACCAATGCGGGGGTCCGTCACAGCATCGTAACGCAGCCTCCAGCCATTGGATCCGTTTGGGGATGACGGTAGGTAATTAAACAAGAATTCCGCGCGATCATCTTCATTAGAACTCGAGAGGGAAAATTTGCCCTGAGCGTACTTATGATCAGCAGCTCTGTGGTGTTGTGCGAAGGGAATAGGTTCAAAAGGGCTCGAATACCCGGTGCTTGTCGTTGGTCGACGGATGACTGGGTCAAACTCTAAAATTACATTTGGAGTTGGTGGGGCAGAATGACTCTCTGGTGTCTGTGCAGAAGAAGATGGAAGGAGTTCTGGCAGTTTAAAATCAGGGTGGTCATGTTGTCGGTGTATCGATTCTTCTGTGGATACGCCAGGAGTCCAGACTGAGGAGTGAGATGCGGGGGTGTATTGAGGTAGTTTTGAAACATCTCCATGCATTGCAGAAAATGGGGAATTTCCAAGTAGCATCTGACTCGCAGGGACAGGTAAACTGGGTCCGGCGTTATCAGGAGAATGGTGGCTTTGTGAGAAGTTCGTCGACGAAAAAGCAGACGGAAGAGCCACAGCACTTGGTCGGGATGGACGGTCAAAAAAACTGAAGTCATCGTCGGTAAAAGCATCCTCAAAGTCCATCCCGTCCCGATCATTATACGCGCCGCTTCTACCTCCACCAGACATAGAGTTCATGTTCATGTTAAACCCCATGTCCAGATCCATTCCGAAATCCATGTCGATGTCCGCATCTAGATAAGAGGCCCCAGACTGTGACCAAGCGCCGTCCATGTTTCCAAAAGGATCATAGGTACCAGAAACAGCAGATGTAGGGGCGGATTCATTGAACTGGGCTTCTACAGGAGTACACGATGAAGATGTCTCGGTTAGAGGGAGTGCTTCAGTTCTAGCCACGGGTGAAGTTTTGCTGTCAGAGCCGGGGACTATCGTGGGATTGATTTGAGGTGGTGATGGATAGAAGCTTTGAGCAGGAGGATAAGCCGAATGCTGGCTTGGGTTAGTTGGCAGAACCGTGGGGGCAGCTGGATTTGTGATATCCATTTCAACGGGCATAGAAACCGAGGTTGAGGTTGATGTTACTGAACGGGATATTTTGGGTGAAGAGCTAGTGCCAACTTCTCGCTCTCTCCTCAATCTTTCCCGTTCTCGTTCTCGATCGCGCGCAACAGCGTCGACATAGCTGCCAATTTCAGTCGCAGCTTGCCGGATATCCTTCGACTTTGACAATGTCAATGTTCGGAAAGATCGAAGGGAGTCGCAGGTCGGGGATACGGGGATGGGAAGGCGCGCTGCATAGAAGCTTGATAATTCCCCTGTGTCGCTAGGCGATAAAGAAGAAAAAATAGAGGGAGTGGCGGGCGGGACTTGCGGCGATGGTTGGAGGGGCGTAGGCAGTTCAGGGATGTAATCCAGCGGACGAGGGCAAGACGATGGCATGTAGGAGAGACAGAGGCTGCTTGGGTATATAATGGTTATACCCTTGTCTTCACCTTGTTTATTCTCCACTTTAATCCAACCTATGATGAAACTCGGTGTTTGACCAAAATTATTGACAGACGGGCCATGTGCAGGGCGATGCGGGTCTTTCGAAGGCACACAGTGACCTTCCCAATCGCCAATACCCAAACCTCGCAAGGACTCCCGGAATTGCTTAGCAATGCCAGAAACAGGACCGTTGTAATTTGCAAGAAAGTAGGCTGGGGTACCATAAGGAAGTAGAATTATAGGCGCACCAGATGGAAGCGGGATAGAAGGTGTCAAATCCAAAAACGGTGTTGCTTGAAGAATCGGATGGACAATGAGGAAGGAGGGAGAGCCGGGTAGGGAGTAGGAGTACTGAATTTGCAATTGACATAAAATTAAGGGTCTTCAAAGGAGTCAGAATGCGCTACACTCGGGCCAGAGCAAGACGAATTACCTTGAGATGGCTTTATGCTCCCATCCTGTATCCCAATCTGACATGACCGGATTCTGTGTCAAGACAAAGCCATTCTTGAAGCGCTTAACTTGTTGACGCAAACGACCGGTGCGTGGTTTATTTGAGGATGTCTCCACGATGTCCGATATTAATCTCGTGCGAACCGCATCAAGGAAGTGACTGTAAGCATGTCGAATCTTTGGCTCCGGCAATAAACTAGAAATAAAAGGGGGATTAGACTTGTGAAAACCAGCAAGAGATGAGCATACGACGAAGCATCTTGGAGGGAAAAGGAAGTGTTCATGACCACTGGAAATAAAAAGTGAGTATACTAATGAGGGGAGACAGGCATTCAATATGATAAGATTTCCTCGTGGCGATACAGAGGAAGGAGAGAGTATGAAAATACTCACAGGTTAGTCCACTGAAAGACAGTTCTTTGAGCGATTGCAACGCGTTTTCAACCAAATTGCGTTGGGAGATCATAAAAACGTAGATAAATGGAGATGTGCCACTGTGTGCACTGAACAACATAGAATCCAACAGAGGTTTGGACGCATTCCCCGATAAAAGGACTCTCCGAGCAAGTTCGATGGTTTCGTGAGCTGGTAGAGTCGTCAAGTGAGATTTGGATTGGGGTTCGAAGCGAGCGTATGCAACGCATGGATCGGCAGGTAACGTTATTCTTGAGACCAAAAGTTTATCTGTGTGAAATATATGAGGAGGTGTATAGGCTGCAGATGTTGGTAACGTTGCGGCCCATTTCGCAGCCATTTGAAGAGTTTACTTGGACCGAGGCAAGCCAAAGGGAAGCAGCATTCGCATGCTTCGGAAGAAGCCGAAACCATTTTTCAACTTGCCACTGCGACAACCTCGCACCCGTCGCCGTTGTTGTCTACAACATGCAAACCACTTCGCGACCAGCCTCGACATCCACGCGACCACCGCACTCTCCTCTTCCTCGACACCAGGTTAACTCTCAGACGAAAGTACTCGACACGACACATGGCAGAATCCTTTGCATTGCTGACATTCGGGGCCGCCTTTCTGCACTCAATGACCTTGCAAGAGAAGTCAATGCCAAGGCTATAATTCACACTGGAGACTTTGGTTTCTTTGGTGCGCCTTTTTGACTCTCGTTCCACCTACATTCTAATTTTTTTTATCACAGACGCCAACAGTCTTGAAAGGATTAATGACCGTACCCTACGCCATCTTACCATGTATTCGCCGCTCATTCCCTCTGCACAACGTACTCATCTCCTTGCCCCTGACAATCCACCACCGGTCATCCGTTCTACCGTTAACATCGAATTGCTCTCCGAGTTCCCCCTTTTGCTGTCCGGTCAAATAAAGCTTCAGATTCCTGTTTACACCGTATGGGGAGCTTGCGAGGACGTATTGGTTCTTGAAAAGTTCCGCGCAGGTACCTACTCGATTGAGAACCTCAACGTCATCGATGAAGCTACGACACGTTGCCTGGACATAGGTGGTGTGAAGTTGCGGTTGCTAGGTTTAGGTGGAGCGCTCGTTCCACACAAATTGTTTGATAATGGTGACGGAAATGCTACTATTGCCGGAGCTCAAGGCACAATGTGGACGACAGCATTGCAAATCGGGGAACTCGTTGACACGGCTCAGCGTGTCTTTGACCAAACTGAGACGCGTCTCCTCATTACTCATGCCAGTCCCGGCCGTGAGGGAATTATCTCCCAATTGGCTCTTGTGCTGAAGGCCGACCTCACCATCTCTGCTGGACTTCATTTCCGATACGCGACCTCTTACAACGAATTTAGTGTACAAGGCGACTTTGAAGGCTTCCGGCACAAGTTGGCGCTTGGGAAAGAAGGCTTCGACAAAGTTTGGGATAGCGTCAAAACGCAAGTGGATGCTGTGATTGATGACAACCAGCGGACCCTCCTTGACAAAGCATTGCATGTTGTGGAAAAACTACCACCAGTCCAGCCTTCCAGTGGCCCAGGAGCAACAGCTACAGGGGAAGAGCCCGCATGGAAAAACTGCTGGAACTGGAATTTATGTGACGCAGCCTATGGTTCTTTGGTTTTGGACGTGAAGGAAGGAAGAATTAGCTCCGAGCTGAAGAGTCAAGGTGAGTTCATGTTTGTCTCTAACGATTCTCGCTACAGAAGTGTCACAGGTTTCAACTACGCTTATCGCCGGACCGCGACCTTGTCAGGAACTCCTAATTCAACCACCTCCGCTCTTCCAGCGTCCCAAAGCCACAATGCACTCACCAGTCAGCCACCGACAAAGGTACCTACGCCTGTTCCTGATCGTTCCCTTCCCCTCAATTCCAACAAGTCTTCTACATCCACCCCTCCGCCAGATGTGGATTCTAGGAATGGTCCAGGTGGGGCAAAGGTCAACGGTGCAGCCACTGCTGAAAAGGCGGAGAAGGAAAAGGCCAAGAGGAAGGAAAAGAAAGAAAGAAAAGATAAAGAGAGGGCTGATCGTTCAAGAGACAGCGCTAGCACTCCCGACGGCCCACCTTCGACGTCGTCGCCTTCACTGCCAGAACCTTCAACGTCTGGCGCTCTTGATGTTGGCAAACTTGACGCAGATGATGTAAAGTCGCCTACAGAAGGCAGCGCAGGCGTTCGAACACCCAAATTCGGAAAGCCCCCCAGGAACCCATGGACAATTTTCATGAGGATGCAACCCAACACTGAAGTCTCAGAAAATGAAATTAGGATTTTCTTCGGGGAGGCAAAGGATGGCGTAAGTACCTGGATATCTCTGCCGGTGGCTTCGTATTGATTGCCTCGTCAGATCACTCGCGTAAACATGCCTCCCCCCTTTACGGGAAGAGCTCGGTTGGCCTATGTTGAGTTTGGGGATGAGGAAGCCATGAAGCTGGGTTTGGAGAAACATCAAGAGGTTTGTTTAATTCAAAATACACCTATCCCTTGGCTGACTTGTTTCACTAGAAATTGAAAGATATAGTGCCTGAGGTTAAACAGGCACAGGATCGTGAGTCTCGCGGCGAACCACCTTACAGAGGCTTTGGAGGCCGTGGTCGTGGTCGCGGTGGGGGTGGGTATGCGGCCAGAGGTTTGTCTGCTGCAGGTTTGACGAGAGGGGGACCCCGCAGCAATGGTGATGCAAGTGGTCCCTCCGCAGGTGGTGCTTGACACCCGACTGTTGGAATGACGGTCTCCTTTAAAATTTCTTTCCTTAATGGTCACGCGAGGTTGTTTGAACTATTGCTTTTTTCAAGACATGCAGCCATACTTAGTATTCCCCATCTCTTCATCATGCATGTATACCGTATCTCCAATTTTCAGCCTGTCATGCGTATGATCCTCCTTTCTAATGGCCTAGTATAATTTTTTTGAGCGAGTTGCATTGGAGTTGCACATCAAACAAGCACAAGCAGGTATTTACGCTAAGTTTATGTGTGCTATTTCAATTATACACTTTAAATGCACCCCACCGTCCGTGCCCAGATTCACCAACCTCTCATTAAGTTCCTTGGGAAGAGGCATTGGCCTTCATGTGCTGAATCTTTCTTACTTCTTTCTCTTTCCTCTTCTGACCTCTTCCTCTAGCACCCGATGTACCGCATACCCACCCTGCGGCACCCGCTGAACTCAAAGAACGGTTTACCAGCTTTTTTCTAAGGCCAGCGGAATCGCAAGCGGAAGGGTCATCTCTTACGCAGGACAATAAAAGTGTCTTCGAGGACTTTTGGCAAGCGCCAACAAGGTATTGGAAACCTAGAGTTAGGGAAATTGAGGAAAAAGAGATGGATGCCGTTATGGTGCGTGGTTGAATCTTTGCTTTATACCTTCGCCTTACGCTGTTAGCAGAGTGGCGGGGCGTCGTCGTATTGATTAATTACCGTATCAAGTAAAAACATGAATCATTGTTTTGCGACAACATGAGCTAGTCCTTCTCTGCATATGCTAAAAGGTGCCGTTCGATTTCGGCCTCACCCATTACCCGCCATATTCCTCTGGTTTTCTCGTCCTCTGTCTCTCCTACCGAAACAATGCCTATTTCAATTTCCCCAGGCTTGTAATCAGTTGCGTGAACCGTGGACATGACCTCGATTGCCATCTGACAGGTATTCATTAGTTAGGAACATGTGTAGCCCAAAATAGTGACGCACCTCAATCACCTCGGCTCGACTAAGGCTCTTTCCTGCAGCCACAGCATCGTCCCCACCCCGTCCAGAATTCAGTTTCTTCCATTTCTTTTCGAGATGATTCATGGCTTCTAGCTGTTTTTGACCAGCCGCGGTTGCGTGGAATCCCACAAAGTATCCTGCGGGATCAAGCTTGAAACACTGAGGGCCAAATTCTGGATCGATTCCGATCAAAATCATGGCTGAAATTTCGTCAACTTTGATCAAGACCAGCACCGAAGGGACTTAGTTACCAATTCCCAATGGGCGCATGGCAGCACGCTGCGTATAAACTTGATTAATGTTGGCAAGCCGTCTTGATAGAGCGTCGGGCGTAATTTCGTAACCGAATTTATATCTAAAGTCGGCAGCTTCAGATCTAGCGCGGGCCACTTGAGCGCGTGCGTCGGCTTGGGAAAGAAACGATTGAGCAAGGGTGAAATATAGAGTCATTGAAACACACCTATAAGACCGGTCATTACACAGCCAATGGTAGGGGTTATGCTGAAGAGATGGGTGATCGTCGACGCGTCCAGTAGTTTATCCTGTGGATATCTCAGAACGCTTTTATAACTCGCCGTTGTTGAAACAACGCACGGGAACTTTACGTTGGGTAATAACAACGGAAGTATCCTTTCCTCTGACGGCAATTGCGGTGTGCCCTGAGCCAGAGATTGCTTTGAACGCATACTCTAAAGAAAGGTAAGACGAAGATTAAGATGATTAAGACGGCAGACAGACCAACTTGGTATAGACGTCCTTCGGGTGAGAATACAGTGAGATATCTAGGAATTTGTAAAATTGAATGGTAGAATGAAGTCAGTAAAAAAGAAAATTACCTATCGTATGATGTTCTGGACATGGTGGAGCTGGAGCAAGCTAAGAGCAAGCACTCAGCCTGCACTGCAGGACGCGCAAGTCCTCGTCACGTGTGTCCCGGTCACAAAGATGGTCACCGTCACACAAATTTCCTCCTTCCCCGTCTTCCTATGAACTTATCATGAAGGAGTCTGTCTCCCATCAGGCTCCAAAAGTCATGTATGTTCTGCAATCCGCTTATTCACCGGTTTTTCTTACCAAAACATAGCAAAAAGATTCAGTTTAGTTTACTCAATGCACAAGATACTGTCAAGATATCCGAGTTCGAGGTCACACATCGAGACCTTTATACCCCAACAGATCGCCAGCCTGTAAAGAATGGCGTTCTTGATCGTCGTTTGGTGTGTTCCCTTCTTCTTGTCTTTGCTTCCCATTTATTTGTAACTCTCAAGGGCACTACAGACAAAGGCGCATTCTGCGAAACATGCGGGCAATCCTCCGTCAATTGTGTTGGACATTATGCATATATCAAGCTAGTGGTTCCAGTCTTTCATATCGGTTACTTCAAGCATACGATTGCGGTGTTGCAGGCCATTTGCAAGGTTCGGGTTGTAGTCCATCCCGGGGTGTCTGGTCAAGCTCATATCTGCAATAGACATGTGCCCGCGTCCTTCTCGAAGAAACTGATAGGCGCATATTCATCAAACGCTTTCGTCGCCCAAATTTAGAGAACATGCAACGGCAATCGTTGTCAAAAGCAGTCAACACTATGGCACGAAAGGTGGTATATTGTCCTTACTGTTCTGCAACGAACGGCGCCGTAAAGAAAGCAGGCGCTCTCAAGATCATCCACGACAAATTCCGTGCGAAGAAGACGGCGGATGAGCTCGAACGGTGGAAGAAGACCTTTGCTCCTGCTCTGGAGGCTCAGAAAGAGTTGGCGATGTACATAAACAAGGCCGTGCATGAAGACCTAAATGCACTCAAAGTCCTTGATCTTTTCAGGAGAATATCTGACGAAGTAAGCTAAGGAGCGTTCGTGAAGAATTCTTTCTCATTTACTTTCCAGGACTGTGAACTGTTAGGCCTGCACCCAGATTGGGGCCGCCCGGAACAGTTCATCTGGCAATACCTTTCAGTACCCCCCGTTTGCATTCGTCCTTCCGTCGCCCAGGACGGGGCTTCCAACGAAGATGATCTCACAGTCAAACTGACCGAAATCGTGTTCACCAACGCATTAATTAGGCAGGGTCTTGCAAAGGGGTCTCCGACTCCCCAATTTATGGTATAGATGCCATTCTTCAGAGTCTCGGCGTTGCTAACATATCAAAACTTCAGGAACAATGGGAGTTCCTACAACTATCAGTTGCTATGTATATAAATTCAGAGCTGCCAGGGGTACCATCTCAACCTGGGCAAAAGCCAATTCGCGGATTTGTTCAACGGCTGAAAGGAAAGCAAGGCCGCTTTCGAGGCAATTTGTCTGGAAAACGAGTAGATTTCTCCGGACGAACGGTCATCTCGCCTGATCCCAATCTTCGTATTGATGAAGTTGCTGTGCCTGAACGCGTAGCGAAAATTCTAACCTATCCCGAGCGTGTTACCACCCATAATATCAATGCGTTAAGACAAGCCATTCGCAACGGTCCTGATGTACACCCTGGCGCCAACTTTGTCGCTAGAGGCGATAACAAAAAGTTCCTCCGATTCGGCAACCGTGCAGCCATTGCAGATGGTCTCGGCATTGGAGATGTTGTTGAACGACATATAATAGACGGAGATATTATCTTATTCAACCGCCAACCCAGTCTTCACAAGGTTCGTTCTTTTTCAATTTGACGTCGTGAAGCTAACGTATATCCACAGTTATCGATCATGTGCCATCGAGTAAGCTATTCAGTCCGTGATGTTATCGTGTCGGGATGCTCATCCGTTGCAGGCAAAAATCCGGCCTTGGCGTACCTTTCGGTTGAATGAATGCGTTTGCGGACCATACAATGCTGACTTTGATGGTGATGAAATGAATCTGCGTGCGCATCTTTACTCTTGTATCAGAACCCAAATTTTAATCAAAAACCTCCAGATGTTCCTCAAACAGAAGAAGCAAGGACGGAGGCTTTGGAACTAATGAACGTTAAGCATAATCTGGTGACCCCAAGAAATGGAGAGCCTGTTATTGCCGCTATCCAAGATTTCATTACTGCTTCTTTTTTGCTGTCTCGTAAAGATCAGTTTCTTGATCGCAGACAATTCACGCAAATCTGCTGCTACTTCGCTGACGCGGACATGCAAATTGACATACCGCCTCCCACTATTTGGAAACCTGTTCGCCTTTGGACTGGAAAGCAAATATTCAATGTTCTAATTCGACCCAACAAAAAGTCGAACATCCTCGTGAATGTTGAATCGAAATGTCACAAATGGGAAGAAGCTAAGCCAGAGAACTATCCTTCGCGTATGACACCGGCAGCGGATCTTTCACCGAATGATGGCTGGCTGGTAATCGTGAACAGCGAAATCATGTGTGGGGTCATGGACAAGGCGACGGTTGGGAGCGGGAAGAAAAAATCAATCTTTGGTGTTATTATGCGGGACTACGGGCCTCACGAAGCTGCTGCTGCAATGAATCGCCTCGCGAAACTGTGTGCTCGATGGCTTGGTATTATTACCTTGGCTTACTCTTCATGACCATTTTGCTCACCAGATGTTATTCAGCTAATTACGGATTCTCCTTGGGTATCAACGATGTCATCCCCGGCCCAGAACTCTCCAGACAGAAAGATATTCTGGTGGAAAAGGCTTACGCGGATTGCCAGGATCTTATCGCTCTCGCCAAGAAGGGAAAACTTGAAAACAAACCTGGATGCGATCAAGAACAGACGCTAGAAGCTCTCATATCATCTGTACTGTCGAAAGTTCGTGAAGCAGTTGGACAAATATGCATGAAGGAACTTAGCAGGCAGAATGCGCCTTTAATCATGGCAACCTGTGGTTCTAAAGGTAAACTCCAGTGACTGCATCGGCTTTTCGAAACTAAAAGCGTCGATTTGTAGGCTCCGTTATCAACGTATCTCAGATGGTTGCCTGTGTAGGTCAGCAAATTATCGCTGGCCACCGTGTACCGAACGGATTCCAAGATCGCTCACTGCCCCACTTCCCAAAAAAGTCGAAGGAGCCCCCTTCGAAGGGCTTCGTTCGAAATAGTTTCTATTCCGGATTAAGAGCTACGGAGTTTTTATTCCATGCCATCTCTGGTCGGGAAGGTCTTGTCGATACTGCGGTCAAGACAGCAGAGACGGGTTACATGCAACGGCGGCTTATGAAAGCCTTGGAAGATTTGACAACTCAATATGACCTGTCAGTGCGCAACTCGACGGGAGGCGTTGTACAGTTTCGATATGGCGATGATGGTCTTGACCCAGCTTGTTTAGAGGGGGATGCTCAACCAATCGACTTAGATCGATCATGGAACCATTCACTTGTACAGTCTATCTTCCCTCGCATTTGGCTCTATATCTGACGTATTTGCAGGCAATTGGTGGTCGTTCGGGTCGAGGATTTTTGCCTTTCGAGATTTCGGAACTCGTTGACCGCGAATTAGGAACGCATAGATTCATAAGCGAGTGCACAGCTGCGTACCTGGACCTTATCAAAGGCTTTGTCGCGGACCACATTGCTCAAAAGGTTGCTAATGTGCGGAAAAGTCGGGGCATGTTCGAAGCTCTTGAAAGAGAAGCCGAATGGGACGCTGAAACAGATTTGTCCCTTGGTGCTTCAGGTGGGTCTCTTGAAATTCATGGTCATTCATCTACCTCACCGCCATTTCATGACAGATGCGGACAAGGCTATCGTGGATAACAAGTCGAAGGTAACTGAGAGCCAACTTCGGAAATTCTTAGACCTTTGTTGGGTCAAATACGTCAAGGCTCGCATAGAACCAGGTAACGTTTGACCTACTTATATGTGGAACTCTCGTTTATCCATCATATCGTCCAGGATCAACGGTTGGTGCAGTTGGGGCCCAATCCATCGGTGAACCGGGAACGCAAATGACGCTGAAAACTTTCCATTTTGCTGGAGTTGCCTCGATGAACGTCACCCTAGGAGTACCACGTATAAAGGAAATCATAAATGCTGCGAAGGCGATTAGCACTCCAATCATCAGCTGCAAATTGGTAACTAGCGACAGCGAAGCCTCAGCACGTATTGTGAAAGCTCGATTAGAAAAAACATTGCTAGGCGACGTACGGCTTCTTCTATTGATGAGTACCGCGTTGTTCATGTCACTCTCCAGATTGCCAGTGTTTTGGAAGAAGCTTGGGCTCCAGAATATACATATATTGGAATCATTGTCGATGTTAACGCGATCCAGAAACTCCAGGTTGGACTCACCTTGGCTGCATTTCTTCTTAAAACTAATTTTCAACATGCAGCTTGAGCTGACTTTGGATGATATCAAGTGGGCCATTGTGAATGCGAAGAAACTCAAGATTAAACAAGAGGTCATTGATTTTTGCGACCCAATCATCTCTCACTGAGAAATTTCTAGTCGATCACCGTAATGCCTCGTAAAAATCGTCTTCGAATTTACATCGACGGCCAAGACAAATACTATCGTTTGCGTGAGCTAAAACGAGGGCTTGCAGACGTGGTGGTAAAGGTAAGTTAATAGCTAACTCGCCGATCTCTTTCTGACGTATTGTCAAGGGTGTCGGCACCATTCAGCGTGCAATCATCAACATAAAGGATAAGAATGACGCCAGGGGAAAGAAGGGCGACAAGGAGTTGTTGGTGGAGGGATATGGACTGCAAAAGTGCATGATAACTGAAGGTCTGTGGTCCGTGGTATTCTTTCCTAGTTTGCCCTGAGACAGCTTAGGCATTGTGGGAGAGCAAACCTCTTCTAACCATGTCATCGAGGTTGCCCAGGTTCTGGGTATCGAGGCAGCGCGCCAAACGATCATCAACGAGATCCAGTACACCATGAAATCTCACGATATGATCATCGATCCTCGCCATGTCATGCTCTTAGGAGACGTCATGTCTTACAAGGTGAGTTTGTTGGATCAATTTGAGGAGGTCACCGTCATCTCAATTATAATTAGGGCGAAGTTCTCGGTATCACTCGGTTTGGTGTTGGTAAAATGAAGGATAGCGTCCTGATGCTAGCATCTTTCGAGAAAACAACCGATCACCTTTTCGATGCCTCTGCGTTTGGGAAGAACGACAGCATCGCTGGTGTCTCTGAAAGCATCATTATGGGGAATCCAGCTGCGATGTGTGGTACCTCGATGTAGGTGACCTTTTGATTGTTCCCGGTCTATATCTCACAATACGTAATAGGCCTGCCCTGTTTTCCACAACGCCGACCTTGAAAAAGCCGAGGCGATTACTTTTTGAGACCGCTCTGTAAAAATTTGGCTCAAGTATTTATAGTATTTTATGTATAGCGTGGGATTGTGCTGTATAGTGGTTGATCAGCCACTGTGGCTGTGAAATGAAATTGTAGTTCTCAAAGCATACGCCAGTGTAGAATACAAATTGGACGACCTTTGCAATGGCCAAATCAAAAAAGTGCGTTTCCCGGTAGTATGGTACCGCTCGATATCCTTCTGACTATCCGATCTAGTCACACGAATCACAACCAGAGCAAGAAGGCCCATCGCAATGGTATCAAGAAACCCAAGTCGAACCGTTCACGCTCATTGAAAGGCGTAAGCACTCAACTTGTTTGCTTCATTTATTTCACCTCTTATGACCCGCGTTACACAGGTTGACGCAAAGGTACATTACCCCCTCTCCATGAACATACCGCAGGCATTAAATTCTCGTAAATTAGTTCCGCCGGAACGCTCGTCATGCCCTCGCTGGCTCAGTGCGTTCAATGCATCATATAATCCACGTTCAAAAGATCTAACACTACCCTAGAACAAAGCAAGATTAGCAGCCAAAACAGCAGCAGCATCATCATGAAACGTTATCACCACCATATGCCGCTCTTGAGAGTAACGTTCGCACTATATGTATATGCAATACATTCAATAAAAATGGGTAAATTCATGCTGGCGGGAAGAGTTCCAAGATTGTTCTCAAGACAAAGCTGCTGGGGATACATCCCAAGAATACAATGCCGCTGCTAAAATACGGGGATCTTGGGGGCGTTCCAAGACTGCTGTAAATATATACACGTACAATCACACGTCTCTCCGCTGACGATGCTACCTCTGGGGCTGGAAAGATTTGGCATTCCGATCCAAGGTGGCCCTCAAACGCATCGCCTGACATCCGGTCAAAATTTGTGTTGAGATTGACAAAGAGAAGTTCGTACCGCAGCATCCTCAGGTCGTAGTGCACCTTTCGCCATATTATGTTTTCCAGCTCGCAACTTCTGACTCCGGCTGGAGCTCGTCGCCTTTGCTGATCCCTCATTAGCTGACAACAGGGCCCTACATTCCTCATCCGTCGCTGGATGACCTTCAAGAACGGAGAAAAACTTGTGCCGGAGGACAGTCTTAATTCGCTCAAACGAATGAGTTGTGTACCACCCGTCGCGTTCCTGTCTTCTCATCAGCTGGTTCACAGAGGGCGAGCAATGGGCGAGTTACATCGCAAGTTTCACGTAGGCCCTCCGGGTCTTGGATCATCTCCTGCAACATTGGGTCAACAATATCGCAAAGCTGGAACGCTGCCGTCTCTTTCGTAACCGTTTTGCCGTCGAATATGTGAGAGTTCCTGGATAACCTGTAAGCTGCGCAAATCGAACTTTGAGAGAGGCGGGGGCCTACTTTTTGTCCGCTTCTCCACCCGACGTGTCCAGCCCGCGTAGATGCTCGTTGCCCTGTGATCTATCCTGCCTTCGAGTGATCACTGATGGACGCGCAATAGGATGGTTCGCGTTTCGGAAATATAGACGCTGGTAGCTACGAAATATGAGGGAAGGAAAAGAAAACAAGAGAAGAGTCATACAATCGAGCACTAGGATCACTGCGAGGGTCGTATCCGAACCTAACAAGAGTATCGCGCCAAGGTCCATCTTGAAATACATAGCAAACAAGAGGGAGCAGCAGCTTTGAACTGGCTCTCTCGATCAGAACGACGAACAATGAGGAAAATCAGAAGAAAGCCCACTTCAAAATTTCGCGAGTCTCCAGAGGTGCAAATTGGTTAAAGAGGGACATGCGCGTCCATATTGGACGATCGACGAAGACCTGAGAAAACTCAGTACCCTTGAAGGAGAGCAAAGGGGGAAAAATAGCTCACAGCTTGTAGTTTCGCAAGGATTACTTCACTAATTTGGTCCCTTCCCTTTTCAACAGCGTCTGGTGGTTTCAAAGGAACCTAGGGAGGGATTGAAAGAAGTCAAAGAAGTCATATGCAAGACGCTGCATAAGGCGTACGTGGGGATCCGAGAACATAATAGCAGCAGGACCATATCCCTTCCAGCGCATTTTATTGATAAGCCGTTTCTTCTCTTCTCCCGTCTGCTCGTCCACCGAAATGGATACCATGGACGCAGGATTTCCTTTGAAGCTGCGTGTATTGATGGGTCAAGCAAACGGAAGAAGAAAATGATAAGCCACGAAACTTGTATCCTTGGGGAATAGTCTGCCTGCTGAACAGTGGAGGTGGGAATAGGCGTAGGTTGCTGCGCGTGACGGTGTTTTGTTGTGATTCTGGAGAAAGGGCTAAAAGCTGGGGATCTAGGTTGGCGTCTACGGCAGGCTGAACGAATTGTGTGGTGGACGGCTCTTTGTCAGAGAGTAGATCGGGAATTTTGTACGCGTGAATGGTCTCAACTGAGGATGTAAATAATGGATCAGGTCGAGAGAAAGAGAGTTAGATACCATCCATACTGTCCATCGCAAGGCGCAACTTTGCAAGGGGATCATTCATGTCCGGTAGAAACTGATAATCGACCATGCCTTCGCTGATTTAACTTTGCATAACTCAGAACCAGGAAAGAACATACTTCTGAAGCGCACAGTTTTTGATATTACGCCAACGGCATCCACTTTATATTCACCAATGGCACCATCCTCTGGAGCGTCGTGACGCCTTTTCCGCTTTCTCTTTGTAACTTTGAGAAGGATGTTATTCGTGGCGACAATATCTCCCGGAATGGGATGCGCAAATGGGTTGCCGGGACGTAGATGGAGCTCGAGAAGAGCCTCAGTCTTGCGTTTGAACGCATTGTCGAGCTTGGATTGGCCTCCTAATGACTCGATGGCAATGGGTATAGACGTTGGGCGCACATAACCAGGATATTCGACTGAATAAAAGGGGAGCTGAGGAAGGGGACGCTCTGGTGCAGCAGAGTCGGACATGGAAGATAACGATAACGTGACTAACTACAAGTGTAATTTACTTGGATTTGGCACTAGAGCTCGTCACCCACTCCTCGTAGAGTTTCTATTCAAAATATCAGAAATTGTTCTCCAAAAGAAAAGAGAAAACCAACCTTTGCGTCAAAACCAGCCTTTTGCAGCTCGTCAAACATATCTTTCTGCGCCTTGCGAAATTCTGCGTTTGCTGCCAATCGAAACAAGTCCAACGTTGATACCTCATGTCCTTTTGCCAGGTCGATACCTGTGAAACGTTAAGTGGTATGTATCGCCGACATTCAAACAACCTGACCTTGGTCTTCAAGCATAATAGCGAAGCGTTCAACCGCTGCGGTGGCATCTGGATGTTTCGCAAGTTTGCGGTACATTTTTGAAGCCCGGATGCGTGTTAATATTGGTCTCTCCCATCTTGGCGGGGTGCATGATATTGGACGTCGTTGTACCAGGAATGGTTGTCGAATAATACGAGACCTAAAGCATTGAGAGAGAAGACGTGAAGATGCCATGATGTCACGACTGTCACACCAATGGACATTGCTGACTACTTTTCAGTCGAAGCCATCCTCGCCGACAACCAGGTGAGTCTTCATTCTTTTTATTTAAACAACATACACCTATTACAACTCCTTAGAAAGTCCAATGCACTTTTAAACATGAAATAAAGAACATGGGCCACCTCGGCGGAGGCTCAGAACGCGATGCATGGACATCTCTCATCCAACGCCACCACCACCACTGATAACGATACAGATACCCGTTCTAAGCAAGATGCAGTTGCCAATCTGGCTTGCTTATATCCTCATATATTCGTTGGTCCCTTCCATGCCAGTCTCTGCCACTACTAACAAACCCATCAAAAGGGACTGGGCAGACTTCAACATACCCGCACCATATACAACCAGAGTACGAAACGCGCTCAAGGCCGAAGCTTGTAGCGTCCGGTTATCGAGCCTCGTAGGCGCAGGTGGATCATGGTACGGTTTTGGAAAGATTATCTTGGATATGTGAGTATCACCACCAAAAAAAACAACACTCATTTCATAACATATACTCCAAGGCTAAGCGACGAACAGGCCAACGAAATGTCCGAAATGTTAACAAAAGTCACTCATTTTGTATCCACGCTACAAGTGGCACTGACGGGCAACACCCCTCAGACGTTCAAGGCCCGCCTCGTCGAAGCCATCGACCAGGCACAACACTTTGCCGCCCTGGGTCAAGGAGGAGGAGCCGGTTCTGGTGATGCCGCACAATCTTTTCGTGAGGGTCTGGATACGACCGAGCGAGAATGTACGCCCCACATTTTGTAAAACACGTCAGTCAGCTAAGCGATTTCCACAGTATTCGCCTTGGCTCAGGAAAGTGCAAAGAGGACAAAGCGGTGGTACGATGATAGCGATAAAGCGAGGCGGTGAGGATGTGAATGCTGAGCAAGAGACGTTACATGTGTGCTATTCCTCTTTCCTTTGGTCATTGTCCCCCACCTCTTCCGTTCTGCTCTTTTTGAACTCTTCAACGAACCTGTAATTTAATTGTACATCAATTCCTTGTCACTAGCAATATAACATGTCGAACGCACCATTTTACACTTGCCCACAAACCCAGCTCGATAGTCATGAGTGCAAAGATATGAAAGTTCCCAGAGGTCACGAATGCCAGCGCGACAAAAACCAAGAAAAGAAGAAGGAAGACTGCATCAAGTATGGCAAGAAACGTAGGATTGAGAGAGGATCCTGGTTTGAGGATGTTGTCGAATATTCCTTCAGAGGCGTCCTGAGAGTCACTCATAGAACGCGGTATACATAACTTTACGTAATTACAGTCGAGAAATATACTCTTGCACAGGAGGTCTTTCCTCCGGTTTTAGAGACCAGCATTGCTTCAACAAAGCCCATAAATTATGATCTAACCCCCGAGCAACAATTTGCGCCTCCGTCGGTCTTCCAGGCTGCTCTCCCTTGGACGCACTAAAGGCTGCGTGCATGTGGTGTTTAATCTTTCTATAAGGTTGCTGATGGGTCAATATCTGGAACAATACCGCTTCAGCAACTCCAATAAAAGAGAAAAATTCTCGTAGTCGATGTACCTCAAGAACAGTCATAGCAAGTGCATAGATATCAGTCGCAGTGGATAAATTGCCGTTTCCCATGCAAACTTCGGGGGCAAAGTACCGATAAGAGTCTGCGACGACGTTGCTCTGTGTGAATGGAGTTCCCGACACATCGTGAATGATCTGGAGGAACAGTAAATTCCCTACCAAAAGTACGGGGGAAAGGTGGACATGCCTGCGATAACCCAAAATCAGACAGAAGAGGATGCCCTTGATCGCTGATAAGAATGTTTGACTAAATTACTGCACAGTAAGCAGTGAACACAAGCCACCACAGGATACACCCACCCCTTTGATGTCGCCGTGAACGATAGGAGGGTTCATGGTGTGCAGAACCTCGACTCCAAGGGCGATATCTCGAATCTATAAAATTAGGTTTCAGCTGCGATAAGCCTGACAGCAAAAAAAAAAGAACACACGAATTGTCTATAGTCAAGGTCCTTGTCGTTGGCCTTGACGTAGGATAATGCATCGCCATTCCTCATCCATGGACTTACCATGAACCTGGATGAATATGAGATTGAAGGCCTTCTCGCGGATCTCATGCAAGCTCACGGAATTGGCCCCTCCTGACAAAAACCATAGAACGGCACAATATGTCGTCCTTGGTCGCGGTCCCAAACTTCTCCCCAGATCTTACCCTCTCTTTTGAAGCGCTAAGAACTCGCGTTAGCATCACTCATTATTCTTAATAATAAAAATCCCACCCTCAGACTGCGCTCATCACACTTCATTGAGCGAATCGCCTTGATCATAACTTTCTCCCTTCCCAGATACAACCCTTCAAATATATCGATAGTTGCAGTCCCTCGTACTGGCAAGTCACCTATTTTCTGAACTTCGCCAAATTTAAGATGGAAATCTGGGAGCAGCTGCCCAGACTGGCGTTGCAGGTCGTAGAGCTTTGATGACATTTTTTCATGCCTTTTCTCAGCAGCGACCTTGTTCTCGCCCATAGCCTGACAAAAAAAGGATCAACGATGCTCGAACTGGAGAGTGGCGCTACATTTCACCGTTTGCATAAGAGACATCATTTCTCGAACCATGTCATTCGTAATTGCTTGAGTATTCTGGATGTCGGACAGACTCTCCATTAGCTCTGCGTGATCGCGTCTCGCGTTTGCCTCAAAGTCCCTATGCCACTCGAGCATTTCAAATTGAGTCGTCAGCTGTTCAACAGAAGGGACTATGTCAGAAATTGGGTTTCTGTGTGACGAGTAGGCATGTACCTGGAATCGGGCCACACAATCGGATATCTGTCCTTGACAAATCATAATTTCCCTGGAAATCTCTTCTTGCTTTATGAGACTTTTGATCTTCCCCATATTGGCCCAGGCTGACATTCGGGTCTGAATGTCCAGCAAACATCTGGGTCAGGAGGTATAAGTATGATTCGTGAGCTGTGCCCCGACGGACTGACTCATAAACTGCATTTCTTGCATCAACGACATTTTTAGTAACCTCTCTCTTCTCACTGTCTCGCAAGGCGAGTACAAAGTAGTGACATCTATCGCGTAGCTGCCGAGCTGCATTCCTATGTAAAGGGTGTTCAGCTGTGTGATTTTTAACAGGTGAGCGCTGGAAAACGAGGCACCGATTTTGCACTACGTTCTCACACAGCTGTATGATAGCGCAGAGGAGCTCTACACAGGGAACGAGGGCAGGTACGGGAGCGAGTTGGGCGGTTATCTGGGCGACGGTCTTTCCCAAGGAGATGGCAAATTGAGACGTCTGGCCCGGGGCATTCGCGGCCATGTCCAAATGATTCGAATGGACAGCTAGTACGTGAACTATAAGGGCTCATGGCGATGTAGGAGGGAAGCCATGCAAAGGCCATGCGTAAAGGCTGTGGACTGCTGTGAGAGAAGTTGTCAACCTGCCAGTGAGAACGCTGCTAAGATTAGATTAGATCCCGCGCTTGACCTTGGATGCCATCACTGTTCCCTTCACCTTTTCCCAACCTCCCCGATTTCAATTCTCTACTCGTTCTGGGTCCATATCATGCATCAGCATCCATTTATCTTGCTCTTTCACTTCTTTCAGACCACGAGGGAGAACCAATAATTCTTTCGCCGTCTAGGTCCACACTTCTACAAGCATTACAAATGTTCAACGACAGCTGGCTGGCCACCAACTCTGGAACTGGTAAAATATCTGAAAGGCTGGCCAAGATTACCATGTTGTAATGAATATTCGTTCCCAGCGCTTTAAGATAAGCTTACAACGATGATTTCAGCTATCCTCCGTCACCCACCCATCTGTGCCTCTTTTTATCAATGCTGCATGCAAATCCCACCAAGGAATCGGACAATGGAACTCCTCCCCTTCACCCCAAAACTACGCGTGCACTCCCACCTAGGCTTCTCGTCTTGCTCGAACCATCCTCATACTTTCTCTCCTCTTCTTCCTCCGAGTCGTGCGTTTCTCGAGTCAATTTACATCCACATCCTGGCATGAATAATTATCTCACAGACCTTACACGCTATCGTCATATCTAAATCTTATAGCTCGCGTATTCGCTTCAATAGCTGGCCTCAAGAGGAACTCTGCCCAGTAGGTGAGCTGATCTGCATTCCGTATAAATATCACAACCTCCGTAGGCCCGTCGCATTCGCACTCTTTGATTCTCGATTGGAGGGGATGAAAATGCCAGTAGTGAAGCAACCAAGCAACCGATATTCTTTCAACGAACCGGACGGGCACCCACCTCCTCGCCCTGAACTTGTGTTTCCGTTTGTGGAGAGGTATTTTGAATGGGTCGCTGCGTTCGACGAGGGTCCGTCACTCATGTGCCGCTGGATTGATTTTACTTACACCCAGTTGGTCCAGAGACCGAATACGTGCCTTCTTCACAGGAGGACAGTCCTACAGAAGGAGAACGCAAGAAATACAAGCATTTGAACCTATCTCGCGTTAACCAGGACACGGAAGTTGCACCATTGGTTGTGAAGTGGATGGAAATCTCGATGAAGTCCAAGAATACAGTGACGACTCACTTGGAGACACATCTTGTCCCAACTCCACCGTGAAAAGCTTGAAGCCCGATATATAACATGTATGGTATACATTGTACGCTCTCTGTGGTTCAATAAATAGGTTTGTGCGAAGCTATCCTATCCATTTGATGTGAAACGGCGTAGAATTTCCCAGGTAGCGGTCTAATCAGAGAGGCAAGAATTTTGAACTACGCGTCCGTTGCATGGCAGTACAATGTAATTTGAGCCCTTCCATGTATTTGGCGTAGTATTCTTTGGTAAGACCTGCGAGTGTCATCTTGTAAAATAGCGCCTAGGAGATTATATCGTCAGAGAAATTGCTGAAACAGTACTCCTGATCAGGCGATATGCTTCTCAAGGTTCTGGCGAATAAGCGTCGTAGCTTCGCGTTTTACGGCCAGCGGAATAGAAGCTACACTGGGAGTGAGAAGGTGAAGATATAGAAATAACCGAGCATACTCTGGGCGTGAGTGCGAATCTCTTCCAACAACGTCTGATAAGATAGTGGGTCCATGTTCCTTGCTCGTTCTATCAACAAGCATGAGAACTGGGTCAAAAAAATCATTTTAAAAGCAACCTTTACTACGATGACGTATGTCATCTGTCCATCCACTTTCGTTGAGCTTTGAATTCAACATTATCCTAATCCTGAGAGACAGTTTAGAGAAAATATCAGCGAGAGAAAGCGAAAGTACAGACTGTTCCCAGTCGCCACTCTCTATTAGTCGGTGACGAAGTTGCGAATAGAGCGTGTTGCCGTCATTGGGTGGCATTCGTGACTACCTCTCAACCTCCCCCCAACTTCTGTTTCCACTACGGTCAGAAGTGCGGAAAACATGCTCGATACCGTGGAGGGACGCGTACCTTTGGTTCTGATCGAGTGCAATGCTAGTGACTTCATTTGAATAAAATATTATTTACGTGGGAATTCTATTTAGAGGTCCGCCTCAAACCGTGCGTCTTGCGTTCAACTTGCCCTCCCAAGATATCATGTCTGCGCAAGATAACGACCCATTCTACCTAAGGTATCTATCAAATGTATCCTCTATTTATCCGCTACTCAATTGTTTTGCTATCTACAGATACTAGTACGCGTTCAAACACATCATCATCACCTCCTACTGAAAACGGGATTTTAGCACCGGACACTCTGGCAAACATGGCCACGAGTTCTTGGAGTTTGAATACTCTCATGGCCGTCTCCGATACGCCAACAACTCCAATTATCGTAACGACAGTCTCATTCGAAAAGAGAGTACGTATATCCGATTAGCCATCTCAACGCATCTATTCAAGTCCCATAGTGTGGGTAGGGCCCCTCGTCGTTAAGGAGCTCAAACGTATAGTTGAAGCCAGCGAAATTACAAAGTGAGTCTTGGACCGCCGAAGTGCTCCAATGCGGGCTGATGACGATTCTTTGCATCACAGGGAAGACGACACGAATTGGCCGAAGAAGAACATCGTTGGAAAGCAGGAGCTTGAAATACGTGTTGGGAACGATCATATTGCTTTTGAAGTTCGTCCTCTACCTCACTATCTCCTCTGCGTTCCTTTACATTGCTCCTTTTCGCAGACTGCGAAAATTGGGTCGTTGGTTGACATTCAGGACAGCGAAGACCCAGAAGGGCTCCGTGTGTTCTACTATCTCGTGCAAGACTTGAAGGTAAACTGCTCGAAACGAGTTTGAATATAGAGTTCTCACCCCTTCCCTGTAGTGCTTGATTTTCTCGCTGATTTCGCTCCACTTCAAAATCAAGCCCATTTAATGGTGTCATGTAGGACTTTCTTGGGCTTTGGGGGGATTGAGTTGGCTGTTTTAAAAATGTATCTGGAGAGGCTAGCATCGAGAGAACATCAAAAATGTTTGTGTGTCTCTGATATCTTCCCAAACCAAACCAACCAACACCCTTTTTGATATCCGATTAGCACAGTCCAGCCGACTCAAGCCTCCGTCAAGAAAGCGCTCGTATTTTGTAGCAGGTATGTTGAAGCGATGAAAACAAATTACCTTTCAGCTAATTTTCTCCATAGACATCTTTTAGAACCATCCTGTTGTCGCTGTATGTAATACTTCTTATCTATGCCAACAGTTGTGTGAAATGGTGCAGAACTCAAAGTAGAGCATCCAGAAATATTATGTACAAACACGCAACACACACTGCACTTCTAATCCTTAACATCTGCGCCTCGCTAGTCGAGTTAACAAACACCCGACTGCTTCAGCGGTCTCCACTTGAACATCGTCTCTGGCAGAACCACAACCCAGATTTTTTAAAAAAAATAGGGATAGGCGAAGTACATGTAGGATCCGGATGTGTGCAAAATGAGTTCAACAGCTGAGATGACCACTGACTATGATCTTGCATAACGATTTGGACATGATTTTTGAGGCAAAGCATGAATACACTCAAACTGAAACGGCCATCCTCATCCTAAGCAGCAACAACAAAGAACTCATTTAGGAGTTATTTAGTAAACTATATTGATGAAGGACTTTTCCTCCGTTGTCAAGAACCTCGATGGTGTTCCAGTCGTCAACGGATACGACATAGATAAGTTTATCCACGTTTACTCATAGGTTAGTATACGATATGGCAGATATCAACAAGAGGCTTACCTCGATGCACGATCTTGGGAGGGCGGGTACGAAAATCAATAATGATATAGTCAGACATCCATCCCTTCTCAATCCATTTACCATACTCCCCTTCGGTGAATCGTCTTGCGTGTTGGCCCAATCGATTACCATCACGAAGAAGTTCAACGCCCCATTTTTTCGACCGGATGAAGAAATCAATCCTTCCGTTTTTCGTACCAAACTCTGGAAATGAAACAGAACCATTCGCGTGCTTAGAGGATGCGGAGTAGAACTCGTCCTGGAGACCTATTTCGTGTTTTTCTAGGCTTCGCTGTGAAAACCTCTGGATAACAGCTAGGGAAAATTCGAACGGGTTCGGCTCGATGATCCTAGACTCCAATGGCGATCCATTGAGCTTCCAGTTTATACATCGCCTGTGGAGCGGAGATGCAAACGTGTACAATATTCCATCGATATCTGCTCTGGCTTCTGTATGCAACCAACCAGACCGGAATATCATGCGGAGGGCCGCCTTTCGGTTATCGTCGTTGTCGGGGTTCGAAGCGAGGTAATTGTCCGGGCAGACAATGGATCCTTTTCTAATGACTTCACTCATTACAGCTGTTACATCCAGGTTTTCACGTAAAACATTCGCCTGTGGGAGACCACGGCCAAATACCGTTCCTTTGTAGATGGCCTGGGGTATGTCAGCCATGGAGACACCAGTGATAAACATTTCGTAGGTGTATTCGGCAGATTTCACCCGTTCACGATATGACTAAATTAGAATCAGTATTAGTCGAAACAAAAATGAAAGGGCTCTTTACCTTGTGCGCGGCGACGCACTTCATCAAATCCTCGCAAGCTCCCACATGACCGTTCGTCATATCAAAGACGCAATCGAGGAAGGAGTCAGAAAAGCGGTTATCGTGGAACTTCAGTCGTACGAGCGCGTTGAATTCTTCTCTAGTGAAAAGAAGGCCAACAAGGATCCCATCCCCGCAGTCAAGACGAGCAAGGCCCACGTGCTGTTCCTTTCCGATCCACATTGGCGATAAATTGTCGGCCCCGGTGTAACCAGAGCTGCCGTGGCTGGCAAAAGCAACAACCCGCATACCCTGTAAACCCGGATTCTTAAATCTAGTCCAGAAAGTTTTATCCCAATACGTCGACTGCGCTTCGTCTAGAATGAGGATCGTATTCGGGGTGATCTGCACAGGCATATTTTCTGGCCATGCGGCAACAAAAACCACTTCCGTATCAGGTTCTGTTTCATTGATATAGCGGCGAAGGAGTCCCGCCAACACAGACTTTCCGCTACCTGGAGTGCCTCTGACTGAAAAATTTAGTTTTAAGGAAGTCAGAGCAAAAAATTGCGATACCAAGTACCCATCTCTGCTTTTCGAGTTTTTCATACAGAGCGGAGACTATTATTTCACGCTGAACATCTGAGGGTGGAGGGTCCTGTTATAGAGATTGCAGACAGCAAATTGGAAGGCTTTACAAGAAGCGTGGATGTAGTCCTCTTCGAGTTTCAGTTTCTTTAATGGTGATTCAGCAGCTGAGCAATCATCAGGATATGTTAGAGGTCAAGAAAACAGTTGAAGTCGTGAGTTGGTAAAGAAAAAATGAGGGAGGTTGAAGTAAATGCGGGTTGGGAGAGCAGAGAGAGTTTGGAAGAGGTTCGCGACACCATGGACAGGTTATAAGACGAGGGGAATGGAGGAAGAGAGAAAGTGGGTGCCAGATGAACAGGGCATCGAGAAATGACGAGATGGGAACATGCGGGAGGTAGTCCAGAGCGGCGAGCGAATCGCGTTTGGGAGCCGGCGAAAAGAATAAATGACATTGATGCGTGCGGAGTAGATGTTATGGTCAGTCCCAAACGTGTAGAAGGCGGAATGCCAATCCCAGCAGGAGAATGAAAGGGGATATCGAGGAAATTGAAGCGAACAACGAGTTGGCAAACGAGGCAAGTTTTCGGGTGAAATCTTATCAATAATGCTCAGCCACGGAGATTCACTCTCACTCACCGGTAGCAGGGACCTTCACGATTACGTGGAGGTGCTCACTGGGAGGTTGATTTGGAAAGATTTTGAAGAGGCTGTCTGCGGGCTCTAGTTTGGTGGCATATTGCGAAAGGCTATCTCCCAGGGACCTGATACGTGCAGCGAGAGTGTCGGCTGGACCAGCGGTGATAGCATTGAAGTCGTTTGGCTGGAAAGGTGGTGATGTAAGTCATGTCACTTCACATCGCGACTCGTCGATTGCACTCACCTTCCACAATTCCAAAATGTGAGGACCAACATCCTTCAAAGTATCCAGCGCTCGCTCCCTTTGTATAACCCCCTTCAACTCGCTAACCACGTAATCGCACCCCATACTAACTAAAAAGACGATAGATTCGCCCGCGATAAGACAATTAAGTCGACGAGACTGTGTTTCAGGCATATCGCTCGATGTGCCTGTTGGGCTCCCCGTTGGCTCATCCCCTTTTGTTAGCCGTTTGCGAATGGACCCAATTGCAGAGGAAGGTTTGTCCTTTTTTGTGCTCATAACTGCGTCTGGTGAGGGAACGGCAAGGGAACGGTTAAATGAGCAAGAAGAGAAGCTGCGAATGATGAAGGGGTGATTACATAATTTCGAACTTTCACAGCGCTGGTGTGCACTTTGTTCAAGACTTTGTTAGCAACTTTTTTTTGTTATGCTGAGCTTCAGGTTGACTCGTCCTGCGTCAAGATGCCTGTCAGCTATTGCACGGCTTAACTCTACGTCAAGGTACGCGGCGAGCATTCAGAATCCAGAATTCAAGGATGCAGAGTCAGTTGTTGCCATGATATTTCTTACGGGTTGCTAATTTCTATTGTAGAATGTTTGCAGCGTACGTCTATTGCGTGCCTTCGTTGCTCCTCTTTTTAACTTGACGTAGTCTGGATGAGCTCCTTGGTTCCAAACCAAGTCTCCCGACACCATTAGAGCTAGCAGAAACGGAATCCGAGATATCCGGGAGAATACCGTAAGTACTTGTTTCCTTTTATCCTTTGCCTTGCTTAACCCATATCGCAGTACACAACCAACAGATGCTACATGGGATCCGAGGGACCTACCTTTCCGCCAAACGCTCAACGGGGAGTACACAGAAAGGGAGTGGGCAGCAACCCTGATTAACGGTCGTGGTGTCCATAATGCCTACTACCACCCACAAACACATGGCATCCCCGTCGCCAGCGTCCACTTTCGCTCCCACCACGTACGCCTACTAGAGTTCTTCACCCACTTTGCCTCACACGCCGCCTCCTCCCTCGGCATCCCCATCTCAAAAGTTGCCCGACTTCCCACTCAACGGACCTTGTGGACCGTTCCCCGCAGTCCATTTGCGCACAAAAAGTCACAGGAGAATTTTGACAGACGCGTCCATAAACGGGCGATCAAGGCGTGGGATGCTGACCCGGAGGTGGTGGACAGATGGCTGATGTATTTACGGAAGCACGCGTTGGGTGGAGTTGGTATGAGGGTGACTAGATGGGAGAGGTTGCCTGTGGGCCATGGCGCGACTCGCCTAGCTCATGTTAAGCAACAAATGAGGGCACCCGGACCGAAGACGGTGGAAGAAGCTGTCAAAGCTCTGGGAGAGAAGATTATTGCGGAAGAGCTGGCAGCCCTAGAAAGCAAATCGGGAGACATTCCAGCGAGGACGTAGGATATGTAATTAGGAATAATTTGAGCGTGCAACTGAGTCGGTATATAAAAAACCAATTTGTTCCTGTACCCTCATGCACCCATTTGCCTCTTATGTCCTACGAAGCTACTACAAGGCCACCGGTTGGAACGAGGACAACCTCTACGCAAACTTGACCCGCTCGTCCAACGGTTACTTCCAAAACTTCTTCACCTGTCCACGCGCTGACGTTCCTCACAGCCATCCTTGATTTCACCGTCCCTCGCGGTCTCCACCTCACCGTTTCAAAGTCCCCAAATGCTTTGTTCAAAACTACATATTCCATGACGGCTATGCCGTCGCTCCACGGCTCAGTGGGGTATATTTTCACCTCATGCGATCTTGATGTCAAGTCGTCGGGAAATGTGCGCTTCAAAAACATGATAGAGCGCTTCAAGGTGTACGACCAACCTCGTCGACCGGAACCTAAAGAAGAGGAATGGTTAGCAGGCGAACAAGTGCAAAAACGAGGTGAACGTTCAGGCTATCATACTTGTTCACTACTAACTAATACCAACACGCAGACTATCTCCTCTATGGACGATTCTACCTACCCACAGGTCGACTTGACGCTCTTTATTCAACCCGTCTCTCTCCGACAGTACAGGCGCTGGTCGCCGCCATCTCAGATCCACCGTCAAATATCCCCTCTGAACTACGAGACCGAAACGGAGACCCCAGCAACATCATGCTCAACCTGCAGCATGATGTGGGGAAGTGGTGTACGGAGTACACATGGAGTGCTGAGGACGGAATGTGGGGCGTGCGGGTGCTGCACAACTTTGGAAGGCTGGGTATGTCGGATGCGGTGGAAGACGGCGGCGGCGGGAAGGGAGACCGTACGGTGAAAGTGAAACGGGTGGATGAGGAAGATGCTGTGGAGGGTGGATTGAAAGGGCGGGTGTCGATGGGGGCTGAGCTTTATTTTAGTGCCAAAGAACGAAGTGCCGGAGGTGAGTTTCGTCTTCTTGACAATACGACAACTCATCTTCCAACCTAACATGCCACAGTTTCAACAGGAATCCGCTTCACAACTCTACCAGATGCTACACCTCCGTCATTCCAAGTACCCTCATCATCATCATCATCATCAAACCCCGTCTCACCCTCTACATCTCAACCTCCAACGACCATCACCGCTCTTTTCAATCCAATGTTGGGGCACATGTCAGGAGCATACACCGCTCGCGTGTCGCGGGACCTCGCGCTCTCGTCTCGATTCGATTTCAATGTCTACAGCTACGAGAGTGAATGGACCATGGGTGCGGAATGGTGGCTGCGCCGATCTTTGACGCCAAGACCATCCGAAGACGGTGAAATACATCCACCAACACCACCGCCATTTCCTCCCCCCGTTGAAGATGTTCAGGGCGTCGTAAAGGCGCGAGCATCAACTAATAATGTACGTTTACATCCATTCTCTCCTTATTCCCCCCTCCTCATTGACGCTACAGGACGTTTCCCTCATGTGGGAAGGCAGGCTAAGAAACATGCTTGTCAGCTTGGGCGTAGTTTCCGATTTTTCTAGCAGGTCAAAACCAATAAAAGCCATTGGACTGGAAGTATCATATTTTAGCTCTGAATAGACAAGTTTCGAGTTGATAAGAAGAAGAGTCCCATGTACATATCCCAGAATTTAATACGGAAAATATATACAAAAAAAAAGATCATGAAATGCAGCCTGAATAAATAAGTATGGTAAGCCCAAGAAAAGTGTACAAGGTCAGGATTGAGTGGGTGAGTAGATGAATATGAATGACAATAAGCGAACAAGGGTATCTGGATGAAGCGCAAAAAGGAGGAGACGGAGACAGAAAAACGACAAATTTACTCTTTAGAAGCCGCAATGGTCGTCTGTTTCGAACCATCAATAGATCGAGCCAGCCTTGAAATAGCTTCCCCCGTAATGATAGGCCGATTCAACGGTGACCCATTAGAAGTCCCAATAGTCCTCGCCAGCTTCGAAATAGCGTCGCCCGTAATAACCGGCCTCGAATGCGGCGTCCGATAATTCGCACCCGCAGGCGGCGTAGAATGTGTCCGGAAATGACTGTTGTTCTCCTGATACCCCCCTCCCCCTCCTCCTCCTCCGCGCGGTGTATTTTGTCCGGAACGCGAAAATCGGGAAACGTACTCTCCCGGAGGGGAGCGAGGGAAAGAAGGGGGACGACCGACGGTGTGAGCTCGCGTATGGCCATAAGATGAGATTCGAGATTCGTGTGATGTTTCAGTGTATGAGGACAGGCCTGCTGGGGCAGATAGAGAGTCGACGAGCGCCTGAGGGGCGTGTATGGACGCGGCGAGGCCCGAGTCTTCACGAGCGATTGAGGAATCTTCTGTTGAAGAAGATGCGGGGATAGACTTTGCAACACCTTCATCTGCCTTGATGTCGGGAACATTGTTTGTGGTGGTGGTGGGGGTTTCGTCGACCGCCTCTTTCAAAAGAGGCTCACTTGATTCCGCTTTGGAACCTGCATTCAAGTTTTCTGGAGCCGTTGCAATTGGCTTGGCAACCACTGAGGCTTCCTTGGTTGACGGAGCTGGCACTGTGGGACCACGTGTGTTATTCCTGACCGATCTTGCATTTGGGGCAGATGTGACAGGTTTAGGAGGTAAGGAGTGATGGAGAGAGGTTTTTATCGTGTCAGCGCTCCTTGCGGGAGGCGTTGCCTTGGGCGAAGGATCGGGGACTGAGGTGCTATACCTCTTACTCTCAAGGCCCATCGGCGTAAATGGCGTAGACGCAGGGTAAGAATCACTCTCTGCGGGTTTATGATCCGAGATCGACTGAGATGGGGAAACGACCTCGGACCTAGATATGGGAGGCGTCAGAGGCTTGGAGGATGGTTCGGGTAGCGGCCGAAGACCATCGACAATGATTGGAGATATCATTTCGGCCGGATGAGTGGAGGTGGAGACGCCCCAATCATCCAGATCAGGCAAGCTATCATCGTCCTCGCCCGCCCAATCAATGTGGCTTCCTGGAGTTGACGGCCTATTCTGCGCCACGGCTCGAACACGTTCGACGAGGGCGTCAATATTATTACGCATATCGAAGTTATTACTGGACAGATGAGGAGGGGTGTCTTTGATCGGGGCGGTATGAGGGACGGTTGGAAGGCGGGGCCTCATCGGCCGGAGGAGATTATCATCAGCTGCAGGAGGGTTGATTCTGTGCAGACCGCTGCCTTTACTCGTCTGAGAACGTCTCCTTCTATCCCCCCGCGGTTTAGGTGAAGGTGCAGAAGGCACGTCGGCGCCAGGCGAAGCTACAACGACGGATGGAACGTTATGAGACGACTTTCTTGACGGAGGTTTGGACTTTGTTGGATTAGGAATCGAGGGTTTTTCAGCAGCGGAGGGGCCAGCGGATGGAGCTAAATTTTTCAAAGGCTGGGTTGGGCCAGGCTTCTCTTGGGGAGCACCATTTGGCGGGCGTGTTTCGCCAGTTGGTTTGTTGTCGCGGGATGCGGTATTTGGTCTACCGCCGCCACCTCTTCCACCTCTTCCACCTCCACGACCCCTCCCGCCTCTACTGAAGCCATTAAAGGCTGAACCGGGTTCAGGGCCTGACCTCGGCCATCGAGGTGAAGGGTTGGAGCTGCCTGAAGGTGTGGGTGTGGAGGAGGCCATTCAAATAGAGACCTGCAACAAATTCAAACCCTGGCTGTAAAATGAGAGTGATTTAGCACTGAATGATTTTGAGAGAACTACTGGCTCTTACATGGAAAGACGAGGGATGTTTGAGTTTAGAGGAGAAATACAAGTGTCTGCTGCCAAACAAGGCAAAGCGCACTCCTCATCCAGTTCAACCATGTCAAAAGCGTCGCAACCAGAGCTTAAAAAGGTTGGTTCAGTTTTATCTCTCAATTTGCGGTGCTAATATGGTATATAGTTCATGGACAAGAAATTGTTCGTTCATCTGCAGGGGGGCCGCAAAGTCAGTGGCACACTGCGTGGCTATGATCTTTTCCTGAACCTCGTTATCGATGATGCGATCGAGGAGACGACGCCAGCACAGAAGCATCCAATTGGCACAGTTGTAAGTGATTTTGTACACTTGTTTTGAACTAATGAATGACTGGAGAACAGGTAATTCGTGGAAATAGTGTAACATCAATGGAAACATTGGAGGCAACAAGATCGTAGCAGTAGCATCCTTGTTTGGTTCAGTCATTTAGAATCAACAAATTGTATGTGTAAAAAAAGTTATTACCTTTCCCTGTGACTGTGGTCATGCCTCGTCGTTCTTTACCTAGACCGAAGTTGTTCAACATCGCTCCTAGACGACCTCCACGACTGTCGCGTCCGTCCTCCACACTCACCGCCGTTCCCGCCTTCCCCGACATACCCAGTGACCCCGTCTGGAACGCAAAGCTAAATCAATTCAAACGCTCTCTCATCTATTCCACCCACCCTTCCCAGGTGTGGTCAAACTATACTAGTCTCCTCAACTTGTCCGCCTTCGACCTCCTCCCCGCCGAAATTCATCAACATGTATTGCGTCGTTGTACCCCCCCAGCAACGGAAATGCGAGCAACAGCTGCCCATCGCCTCTTGACCGTCAAAGCAGGTTCCCCGCCCCACTCCTACGAAGGTCGATTCCAGATTATCATTCGGAACATTCGTGCAACGGGTGTTGAACCCGCTTTGGACGACTACCATTTCATCCTGACACATTTCGCTGCCGTCGGTCATCCCGTGGGCTCTATGCAAGTTTTTCACGAGCTAGTCTATCGCGGCCACTCACCAGAGGAAAAAACATATGGCTTGTGCCTCCAGGCAATTGCCCACCGTTTCACCTTGCCCATTTTCAGGGACAATCGGTTACGCTTGGTCGAGACAACACGGAGGATGTTCACACAACTCATGACCGACATGCGTAAACGCAGCATCCCATTCAGCGCTGCCAACCTCGACTTGTCCATGCGCGTGTTGAAGGAGACATTGGATCAAGAAGGGTTTGATTCTCTCATGAAGTGGGGGTATGGAATAGACTTGGCGAATCCCGATCGGGCTCCGTTGGAGTACATCGAAGCTATGAAGGCTATACCCGAACTCCAGGGCGGGGAAATCCTCTCCCCATTGCCCTTCTCTACCAATGCCCTCAATACAACCATCGACTTTCTCGGCAGATCGGGCAACATATCCAAGCTCGTTCTAGCGTTCGAAGTTCTCACCCAACCACTCCCAAAAGCCAACGAATACTTTATTAGCTCCTTTGATGACGATGACGATTTCGGGGTTGCGGGAGGCGCTTCTTCTTCCTCTTCTTTCTCTCCTCCCCACACAGTTCCCAACCTTACAACTTACAACCTCCTTCTACGGCACATATGTCACATAGGCCATCCAACACTTGCACGCCACTACTTTCTCCAAGCTATCAAGCTGGAGAGGGAAACGGACAATCTGATACGAAAGAAACTGTTTGGTTGGACACCTCTGAGTGAGATCGTGTCTCCACAGTTTTCCATGAACAGATCTACGTTGGTCCCCGTTCTCGGCCTAAGTAACCGTGACAAGAACCTTGGCTTAATGCGATGGCTACTCTCCAAGATGCCATTTATCGTCCGCACGAAAAAGAGGGATTTGTTTTATTATATGAAAGTTCGACAAGAACGACTGAAGTGGGAACGCGAGAATAAAGATTGCATAGTACCAACCACCGCCGTAGATCCCCCACTGAAACCCCCAAACGATCCCGCTTCAATTCCCATCAATACATCACCCTCCACAATAGCCCCAGTCCCCATCAAACCCTTCGACATCAAACTCCACATCTCCATCCTCCAACGAAACCTATACGACTCTGAACGATTCCACGCTCACCTAGAACACCTCGTCGGACGAACAACGCAACGGCTCAAAGAGCGGCTAGGCAGACGTGTCTGGGCCGGGAGAGACATCTACATGGCCGATGTGAATAAGAGGATCATGCTTTCGCGGGATGCATGGGCGAGATCTGCAGGATTTAGAGAACGAAGGGAGCCCCCGAAACCGACGGTTATTGAATTCCCGCCGCCGGATGTAGATACCTCTCTGCGGCATGTTCCGCCTCATTTGACGCTTGGACGGAAGTTGGAAGACCGGACACCGTTTTTCCAGCCGAGTTCACGGAGGTCGTTCTCGACGATGTCGAGCCGTGATTCTTCGTTATGGCAGACGCTTTGGCGGCGTAATCGGCCTTGATGTCGACATCATTTCGTAGCTTGTATCTGTGCGTACCATTTTCATCTCATGGACCCAAATTTTTGACGTGGCTTTTTGGTCAAGGCCACCAGAACCGCTCGCCGAGCGCGTCTGAGTATTAGAGCTCACACCGACTCACGGCCTAAACCTTGCTGCCAAAGACCTTACACAGGTTCGAGCAAGGTACTCACTCCCACGAGGCGAGTTGAGGATGTGATGTGTATGTAGTACAGTGATATCAGGGAATAATCTAAAACAGCGCAAAGTTCTACAACTGAGTTTCCATCCATCCAGTTTCACGAATCTCACTCAAGCCAGCCTGTCTAATTCCTTCGCTTTGTCCTTTACAATTGCTTCCATCCCATCCAACCATTGCTCCACTTGTACTGCCCCCGTTTGCAAAGACGCTGATGGCTCTGTATTGGGTCCCTTCGTGGTGGATGAAGAAAAAGTGACGTTTCCAACACCAATGAAGCGTGCCATTGCGATGACAGGTAGTCGTCGGAGTGCACGTCCTGACATACCCTGAGCCTAACAAAATGGATCAATAAGGTACAAAGGAAACACATATGAACATACTCTGCATTGCGCAGCCAATGCTAACAATCGCAATCCTACATTTTTCGACCTCTGATGTGCGTCCACAGACGATTTCGAAGTTTGATCTGTTTTACTTGAGAGCTCGTACATCTGGACTTGTTTCAGTGTCGGAACGCCCTGGATAAGGAGTTGAAAAAAATCATTTGACGCAATGAACGGCGGTCGAGACTAACCGTGACTGATATAATTCCTTTTTGCATAATCTCACAGACGCATGTGCGCAATATTTCGTATATCGCCTCGCGAGATGGAAGGTCGACATATTGGACAATGTCTGCGCGGTCGACGAATGCACAGTCTATGCTAAGCATGAGTGACACAAAAAGTTCAAGAGCTAAGACGGGGTACCTATAGCTTTCACGAGATTGCTGGTCGACATTATCAGTACGTTTTTCCGATGTTTTAATTTGTCCAGTTGAGTTAGGAGAGCGTTGACAACCTGCGGAGCCATCAGCATACATTGAGGTTAAAGAAGTAATCCAACCCTACGCGCAACCCGTCAGAAGGTTCCGTCCCGGCCATGGCGCCAGCTCGAGCAGCTGTCAACGATTCCACTTCGTCTTGATATTTTGTTAGATGAAGCGGCGCATACATTGGGGGCAAACGGCTGATTACCTATCAAAACCACGACGAACCCGTCCTCGTCGTCCACTAATTCCGTGATGCTATTAAAGAGACGCTGAACAAGTTTCCCTGACTCTGAAAACCATCTAGAAAAGAGCGAATGGGAGTTGATCTCCAGGAGACGTGCATGTGAGTATCTGCGAAAATGCGCAAGTTAGACGGTAATCGGATAATTGATAATCACAAACCGATGTGACAGCCGAATCGATAGTTTTTGGGCGAGAGCACGACAGAGGGATGTTTTACCGGTGCCCGGTGGGCCGTGCAGGAGAACAACTCGATTCCAGCAGATGAGGTTGACTGGAAACGACTCTGAGTCATCGCACAACGAAACCAATCAGACATTGTCACTCACAATCCACGTTTGCATCACTGAAAACGAGAGTGGCATGTATGTAATCCAGGAGCTTGAGTTTTATGTCATCGGCGTATATCAACGAGTCCCACAAGCCCTCCCAGCCTATGTTAGGTAGCTCACAAACGCTCGCAGCCATCGTATCACCGTCATCTCCCCCCGAGTCCGGAGTACTATTGGAGAACTCTTCAAACGAATCACTTTGGGAGGGCTGGTAGACGTGAATTTGGAGGGACATTTGGTCCAATGTCAGGGAAGGGGAGGGACATGGTGACTCGCATGCGACTATGCGTTCTACTGAGGATGATAGTTCTGGGATATCGTTCCAGCCTTGAAGGGTGGATGGAATGGCGATTCTTTCGAATGAGGCGATGTATGAAGAGACTAGTGACCTGATGGTTTCGAAACGAGCAGCAGCTCGTGGTTTAAGCCGTACTTCAACTATAAAGAGTCAGTAACGGCGTTGTTGGCGTTGATGATGCGCACCGTGAACTGTCCATTTTGTACGGTCCATAGAGACGTCGTTCATGACAAGACGCGACTTTATTTCATGATGGACGCGTCTTGAGATTAGATTAGATCTGATCGAGTCACACATTTTTATATTTTGATCATTGGATTTGCATGCATCGATCTCTTTCTATCCTCCGCTCATTTAGACGTCCAATCTATACCATGGCAGACATCGTAGACCCAAACAACGTACGCGACCCAAACTCAAAGAGCGCAGGTACGCTCCTTGTTTCTTCATTACCACCAACATATTCCCTCATCACCCGCCCCCAGCGAAGAAGGAAGCCAAACGCCTCGAGAAAGAAGCAAAACTTGCTGCAAAATCAGCAAAGGCGGTTCCTTCAGCAGAGAAAAAGGTAAAGGCCGTCAAGAAAGATGACACGGAGGCCCCCTTCGTCAACACAACTCCCAAAGGGGAGAAGAAAGGTATGTCTCTTCTAGTTCCTGCTACTTCTATTGACCTCAACCGTACAGATCTCTCCGAGCCCATGGCAGCCGGATACAACCCCCTCGCTGTCGAATCATCTTGGTACGACTGGTGGTCAGCCCAAGGCTTCTTTAAGCCCCAACTAACAGCTGACGGAAAGCCCAAGCCAGAGGGGCAATTCGTCATTCCCTGTCCACCGCCCAATGTCACCGGAAGTTTGCACATCGGGCACGCGCTGACCGTTGCCATTCAGGATGGGCTCATCCGCTGGAACCGCATGCTTGGCAAGACCACCTTGTTCGTGCCCGGTTTCGATCATGCAGGCATTTCCACGCAGAGTGTAGTGGAGAAGAGGCTATACAAGGCGGAGGGAAAGACGAGGCATGATTTGGGACGGGAGAGGTTTTTGGAGACTGTCATGGATTGGAAAAATGAGTGAGTGACCGTTCACTGCGAAAGCCAAGCTAACATATGCTTCCGTAGCTACCAATCCCGCATAACAAATCAGCTCCACCGCCTCGGTGGCTCTTATGACTGGGACCGCGTAGCCTTTACTATGGACCCCAAGCTATCTAAAGCCGTCATTGAGACCTTCTGCCGCTTGCACGAAGACGGTATCATATACCGCGCCAACCGCCTCGTCAACTGGTGCATCAAACTCAACACGACGCTTTCCAACCTCGAGGTCGAGCAAAAGCAGCTTACGGGTCGAACACTACTAAACATCCCGGGCTACGACGCGAAGGAACGGTTCGAGTTTGGTGTCATCACCAGTTTCGCGTATCCCATCGAAGGATCAGATGAGAAGATCATAGTAGCGACAACTCGTCCCGAGACAATGCTTGGTGATACGGCCGTCGCCGTGCACCCAGATGACCCTCGCTACACCCACCTCCATGGCAAATTCGTTGTCCACCCATTCGTTCCCAACCGTCGCATTCCTATCGTATGTGATTCCATCATAGTAGACATGGAGTTTGGTACTGGTGCCGTAAAGATCACTCCTGCACACGACCCGAACGATTATGAAGTCGGTGTGCGTCATAACCTCGAGTTTATAAACATTCTGAACGACGATGGAACGCTCAATGCCAATGCCGGTGTGCTCTTTGAAGGCGTGAAGCGGTTTCACGCAAGGAACAAAGTTGTGCAGTTGCTAAAAGAGAAGGGGCTATTTGTAGAGGTCAAGGACAACCCCATGCAGATCCCCATTTGCAGGTGCCTCTCATGCCCTTCATGCTTCATTCTTGAGCTGACGACGTTGACTCAGTAAATCAGGAGACGTAATTGAACCAGTGCTCAAGCCTCAGTGGTGGGTAAACTGCAAACCTCTTGCAGAAGAAGCGATCAAGGCAATTATCCTAACTCTCCTCTTATCTCTGCACCTACTGAAGAAATATTTTTAGCGCACAAGAGCTGGCGAACTGCTCATAACCCCCAAACAGTCCGAGAACGATTGGTATCGCTGGCTAGAAGGCATTCAAGACTGGTGTATCTCTCGTCAACTCTGGTGGGGCCACCGGTGCCCTGCTTACTTTGTTCGCATTGAGGGTAAAGACCAGGAAGTAGGTTGCCTCTGTGTCTGAAGATGATCAGATTGACCTGAATCGTAACAGGCCAACGATGGTAAGAACTGGGTTGTAGGTCGTACCAAGGAGGAAGCCACGGAACGTGCCAAAGTTTTGGCTGCAGGTGCACCCTTTGTGCTAGAACAAGACGAGGACGTCCTTGATACATGGTTCTCTTCTGGTTTGTGGCCCTTCTCCATCATGGGTTGGCCCGACAAGGTTTATCATTCTCCCCAAACTCTTTGAACTCCTACTGAGCGCTTTGACATCTAGACTCCCGACCTCGAGACGTTCTACCCCTGCACACTCCTTGAAACAGGGTGGGATATCCTCTTCTTCTGGGTAGCCCGCATGGTCCTCCTTGGTATCCACCTCACTGGTAAAGTACCCTTCAACGAGGTCCTCTGCCACGCCATGATTCGCGACGCGCACGGACGCAAAATGTCCAAGTCCCTCGGGAACGTCATCGACCCCATCGACGTCATCCAGGGACTACCTCTCGAAGACCTTCACCAAAAACTGTACGAAGGCAACTTGGACGAAAAGGAGATCGTCAAAGCTAAAGCGGGGCAGAAGAAGGATTTCCCGAAGGGAATACCCCAGTGCGGTACCGACGCTCTACGGTTCGCGCTCTGTGCGTACTCTGGGGGAGGGAGGGATATCAATTTGGAGATTTTGAGGGTAGAGGGGTACCGTAAGTTCTGCAACAAGATCTTCAACGCCACCAAGTTTGCGATGTTGAAGCTGGATGGGGAGTTTGTGCCAGAGCCAATCGCAAAAGTGAGTCGAGGTAGTTTGTTCCAAGTTATGGAGTTCTAGCTAAAGGGAACATTTAGCCAACAGGGAATGAGAGCCTCGTGGAAAAGTGGATCTTCCACAAGCTCAACATTGCCGCTATTGAGATCAACCAGTGCCTCGCTGACCGGAACTTCATGGCTGCCACCAATGCCGTCTACAATTTCTGGCTATACGAGCTGTGTGACGTCTACATCGTAAGTACTTTGGTCGACGAAGGATTTCGTCGAAATAACGATCTCATAGGAAGCAATGAAACCCATGACCGACGAATCAGCTTCACCTGCTACCCGCAAATCCGCTCAGCAGACGCTCTACACATGCCTAGACTATGGTTTGCGTCTCTTGCATCCTTTCATGCCATTCGTGACAGAAGAGCTCTGGCAACGCTTGCCAAGGCGAGCAAACGATTCTACGCCATCTATCATGCTGGCATCATACCCCATCTCGGTTCGTGCAATTGTCATGCTCGTGCCTTTGGCTCGTTGACATTGATAACTTTTGGACGAACAGGATTCTGATTTCGTATTCGAAGACGCAGAAAAGAAATTCGATCTCGTCTTCTCGACCCTCAAAGCTGGCCGCTCACTCGCTGCTTCGTATAACTTGCAAACAGATATCCAATGTCCGTCACCTCGCACCCTTCCATCTTGCTCTTTACCTGACCTCTTAACCATCCACAGTCTTCATCCACGCACAAGCAGACCACGAGGCCGAACTCTTCCAATCCCAACTCTCCACCATCGTAGCCCTCACCAAGGGCTGCAAGAGCGCAGAAGTCGTACGCCAGCTGAACGAGATCCCCACTGGCTGCGGTGGTGGTGTCGTCACATCATCCATCGCCATTCATACCCTTGTCCGAGTGCGTCCAGCCAGACCCTTCTTTCAATTTTCGTAGGCTGATTGTCATTGTGAATGATTACAGGGTCTCGTCGACCTCGACCTAGAAATCTCAAAATGCGAGAAAAAACTAGACCTTGCTCGCCTCAACTTGCAGAAGATTGTCAAAGTGGAATCTCAGCCTGATTATACCGAGACTGTTCCTGAGAACGTGAGAGCTGCCAATGATGACAAGGTTTGTTGTTTTCTCTCTTCGCCGTTTCTTTAATAACTGACTCTACCCCTAGAAAAAGACGATAGAAGCGGAGATTGCGACGCTGGAACTTTCAAAATCCATGTTTACTGAGTTGAAATAGTAGAATGCTCTTAGTTGTAATTGTACATTGATTTAATGGGAAACAAACGAATACTTGAGGACCTTTATTAGCCTGGCATCGATGTTTCTCTGCTGCAAGTGTTTCCTTTTCTTGAGAACAAATGTCAAAATAAATGCCTCTCGAAGGCAGGTAATGTATAATCATTGCATCGGTATCTGATCTGGTATATTAACTTTACTGTACTGCTACTCTACACAAAATTATAACAGGTATATGCACCTAGTGTACAGGTGATTGTTGTTGTACACGTCCGTGATTAATATGGTATTACAGCAAATCATGCAAGACCTTGTCATATTGATGAGGCATGTGTGCACTACCCACACCCAAGTCAGAATGCATTCATCCAAAACCGAGAAGCAGCACTCACGTCAACATATCCCGCGCAAACACTAGTTGTGAAAAGACCTGCTCCACATCCAGCACTTCGAATAACCTCAGTTTATCGGGACGTAAGCTTTTCGCCAGCCGATGAGAAGGATGCAAATCGCTATCCCTCATTGCCCACAAGACTCGTCCCGGGGGGTACATATTCCCATTCTGCATATTTGCTTCGAGTGTTTTGCGCATTGCGATGAACTGATAATATACAATAGTGAGATTTTTTCATCTCAACCACAGCAGGAGGGATACACCCACCCAATCCATATCATCAGCAGTCCCTTGACCAGCCTTCCACTGCCTAGCTCGAGTAGTAACAGCGACATAACCGTCCCCTGCCTCTTTCGTTTCATTGGCTTCACAAAGCCACAGAGCAGCATTCTTCAAATCCCTGACAGAGCCAAGTGACAACCTAGCGACGACATCGTGTGAGTAAACGAATGAAACAATTAGTTTATCGGCCAGACGACTGAGACTGGCGTCTGTAAGTGATCTGGCGCAAAGTGTCAATTTTCTAATGGGAATAAGAGCGAATGAGAGACGCACGGCGGTGCAAAACAATATACGGACACCCTCCGTCCAACAGGGAGTCCACTCGACCTCACAGTAAGACATGTCTTGGGGTCGGCCCACATCTATACTTGTATGTCATTTATCGTGTCAGTCCCAACGATCTCGTCACTCACCATGCCGAGCAGCGCAGCCACTCCAGCTCCCAAACTATGCCCACAAAGAACCAGCTCAAACTCTGGGTTATTATGCAGTGCCTCTAAGACAGCCAACTGCACCGGCTTCCCCACGTCTCCCATCAGCCGCGCCATCCTCAACATCCCTCCGTGAACATGATGTACCTTCTCCCTTCTCTTACTTTCTGAAATATCGGGCATGGAAGGGAAGGTGAATTGTCCAGGGATGGGGTGTTCATCATCTTCAGTCATTGGAGGAGTTTGGGCTGGCTCGAAGGATTCAGCTTCACAAGTTAGATCCACGGCTATTTCGTTGAGGGACATCGTCCCTTTGAAACACATGTGTGAGTGATTAGAACATAAAGGCACAAGTCAAGTACCTCTTAGAACGAGCACAATCTGCTCTCTCCCATAATCTGTTAGAACCCAGAATCTAGGCATGAGATGCTCATTCCCAAACACCTGCTCAAAGACGATGTGAGCACGCATTTTAGCCGACAAAACATCAGGTACCCACAGCGGTGGACTTTATCTTCTCTTTCATCTCCTTCTTCTTTCTCTCTGCTGTCTCCTTCATCTCTGCTCGGTGCTTGCTCTCATCCCCATGATCGTGAGCCGCAGATAGCTCAAAAATCTCGCGATCGTGTTTGCCCAGCAACACGTCCCACCAAGAGTATGGCTTCGGTACACCTGACGAACTCTCCGATGCTGTCGAAGACGAGGGAACCCCTGGAAAAGTGAAAGGGACGTCTCCCGCAGCCTCTGCCTCTGAAGCGTCAATAGCATGAGTGAGTTGTGCTTCTTCGGCTGTCTTCTCCTTCGCCATCATATCCGAGAATGACGTCGGCTCTGCTTGTGCTGGGGATCGCCGTGAAGGCATTTTACCGCTTGTATTCGATGATGTGGCTGCTTTATAGGCATCCGTAGGCGACACGCCAAAAAATAACAAACTCGCTCCCCCATATCCGGCCAACACCATTTTCGACAGTCGTCTCAGGGTAGTCTTCAGCTCGGAATCAGACATTTGTGGTAGTGGTTCGATGTCTGTACTCGACGCAAGATGAAGGTGTGCAACTGACCTCAGGGACGAGCGAGATTTAGTCCTTGAGAGGAGTATGGATTGGGCACGCGAGCGAGTGCCAGTGGGAGCCTCTCCGATGTCTGCCGCTATGATCTGTGGGCCTCCTTGTCCGGGAAAGATAATGTCGGAAGTGACGCGTATCCGGGATCCCCTGTGACTGTCTGTTAGTATACCATTCGATAACGATTTATAAACATAGGTTTACCTACCTGCGAGCACGGAGGGTATCCATCGACCTTGGTGCATTCTTGACATCTATTTCCTTCAGGTATTTGAACCACCTCTTCTCCTGCCACTCTTGTGTGACACCTTGCAACGCAACCCAAGCCACGATAGCTCTAGCTACTTGGGTGATTCCATACTGTTTCTTTGGAAGGTCGTCTCCTCCTGCAGACCATTCCCGCCGCACAAGGCCGATGAAAGACGCCAATGAAAATGAAGCGTCGCTGCTTCCGGGAAATATAACGGAGAGGACGTTGATAGAGCTGTGTGCAGCGATGAGAGATGTCGTGGTGATGTATTCGCTTAGATGGATTGGAGCAAGCGTGATTTGTTCAGCGAGTGAGATGACGGTGCGCACAGCGCCTCCGAGAGCATGAGTAGTGAGAGGAACACCACCAAAGAAAGCAATGTCGACGACGGTAGTGGTGATCCCAACTGCGGTAGTCGCTATGCCGCGAGCTACAGAGAACTGGACGCGACATGAGAGGCAAATGCGTGCACAGGGGCCAGCCAACTCACACCTAATCTAGTGCTGTACTTTGCAGCGAAGAAACCAAAGGAAGATGCTGAGAGAGCGAGATCGACACCCTGTCTGCCATACCGATCCCAATTAGCCATGAGGGGAATATGAGAAACGCGCCCTGAATGAGCTTGAAATCCGTCCTCGTCGTCGTCTTCGTCGCTCGAAGTTCATGTGATTGATGATCGCTGTCGTGTCGTTGCTACATACGGTCACGTTGGAATTTTTTCTATGCTCACCACTCATCTTCGACGTGTTCTTACAACTCGCTCCTACGCCACATGCGCATCTGCAAAACCATCGGAATACGGCCAGCCACTCCTTGCATCACATCCACATCTTTGTATGCGCTTTTTCATCACCATGTTCGATGCTAATCTCATTCAGTTGAACAAAATGACCTCACTCCGGGAATACCAAGCGAAGAGTACAAACGACGGCGGAAGATGCTCATGAGCTCTTTACCAGACAATAGCGTCGTTATTTCGGTGGCAGCTCCTGTCAAGTACATGAGTTCAAGTGTGTTATCTATTGCGTCACATTTCGATCCTAACAACCCATTCCCTTCTAGACATATTGTGAGCATCTGCTGCCGCCTGGTAGACGCTCTTGATTCTTAGCTGTGGCAAGCTACAAGCACAGGCAGGCATCAGACTTTTGGTACCTCACAGGTTTCGAGGAACCTGATGCTGCCGTCATCCTTGGTCTGCGGTCATTCAGCTCCATCAGTACGATTTGCTTAATATGGCACACAGAAAAGGATTCTTCTCCACAAGGATATAAAATGACACTATTTGCCTCGGGAAACAACGCAGCCAAAGAAAAATGGGACGGTGCAAGGTATCTGTTTCTTTTTCCTGTTGCTCAAACACATGCACCTTACCATAATATCAAGGACAAGTCTCTCCTCTGCAAAATCTCTTTTCAGCGCTGATTCCGCTCTTCCCATCACGGATTTCGACTCCCAACTAAAATCATTATCGTTCATGTACTCCCACATCTATGTTGACCTCCCCCCGTCACATTCGTCCTCCTCCTCACGACGCAACCCTAAATCCATTTTTAAATACCTCTCATCTCCTGCACGAGCTGAGTACGACTCCATTCTAGAAGCTATATCTAGCACCCGTCAACGCCCACTCGCTCCAGAATTGGCCAGTTTGCGAGCTGTCAAGAGCGAAGCTGAGCAGAAGGTCATGCACGCTGCAGCGACCATTAGTGGACGTGCACATGCCAAAGTGCGTTCCGCATTCGATGTATTTGTAAAGGATCCAAAAAAATTGATTTTTTCCTAAGACGATGCGCTTCACACGACCAGGAATGACTGAAAGCGCTGTTGCCGCACACTTTGAATACATTTGCGCTTTGTCTGGTTCTCAACGCCCAGCGTATGTCCCTGTAGTTGCATCGGGGTCAGTTCCAGTTTTGTGAATCGTACGTGGATGCTTCTAACCTACTTATCAGAGCAAATGCTCTGATTATCCATTACACTGCCAACAACCATCTTATCGAGGATGGTGAGTTTGTCCTCGTCGACGCAGGCTGTGAATACAAGTACGCATTTGGATTTCCTTTGTAGTAGTTCTCTCATGACACTCCATAACCAGCGGCTATGCGTCAGACATAAGTAAGAGCCCTCCTTCTCCCTCCCTCCTCTTCTCACGCATCTACCTCTGTAATCAGCACGTACATATCCTTCGTCTGGGACATTTTCCGAACCGCAAAAGGATCTCTACACTGCTGTGCTCACTGCACAAAAACAACTGATCACCCTCTGCCATGAAGGATCTTCCATGAGCTTGTACGATCTCCACCGTGAATCAAGCAATCTTTTACGCAGGGAACTCAACCAAATAGGGTTCAACCTTGGTGTGGAGGGCGATTTGGAGAGGGTGTTGTATCCCCACTTCTTAAGTCATCCAATTGGAATTGGTCAGTCTTTGACCATCCCTTTTTTCGTGGTTACCTTGACTCTTATGTCACCGTCCTTTCTAGATTTGCATGAATCAACCAATCTCGACCGAAGTTCCGCGTCCGTTTTGTTTTCTCTTTCTACCACTTAACATCATGATACCAATAAATGAACATAGATTAAAAGCCGGTAATGTTATCACCGTCGAACCAGGTGCCCACCACGTCCTAACCTCTCGCCTCCCGCCGCTTACTGTTTGTCCATATCTCAGGAATCTATGTTCCCCCGACTGCCAATTTCCCAAAGTACTACCACAACTTAGGAATCCGCATAGAGGTTTGTTTCTCCATTGGTTTCTCCATAACTTCACCTTACATCTCATCTTCCCGTTAGGATGAAGTGCTCGTAGGCAAACAACATCCCATCGTATTATCCTCCTCTGCCCCAAAGGAGGTACGTTCCCGTATTCCTTGTACCTTCACAGCTAACAACTCTAACATCTCAACACATTTCTTCCAACCCAGATCGCTGACATTGAAGGAGCATGCCAAGGACTTCTTGGTTTTGAACCATACTAATAACCTTTCCAAACAAAACTAATTATCTTATACTCATTATATTTGTTCATCGACGTTTTGGAATACATAGACCGAAGGCCATTTCCCATCTCCAACGCCCAAGGAAGGCCCATCAAAACTCAATTAAAACTGCAATGGCTTTCTCTCGCCCACAAACGTCATATCTCATACTCTTGGTTCCTTCCGAGATAACACAGGGTTTTTTTGCAACCCGGATCCTCTTCAATCGTGCGATACTAACGGAGGCCAAGCTCTGAGATAGTTCTTTTCTCCACGATCGAGGATACTACCGATGGTCCAGCGGCAGACTTCGTCCCATGTGTCCACAGATCCCCACCATAACCGCTCGATGAGAAGGACTTCGGGAAATGCCTTAGGATCTTTGCGCCTACTGGCCTCTTTCGATTTGGTTAACGAGGAATCGGCAAATCGCTAAAGTCTATAGCTATCCGTTGTGATCTCCACCGGCATCCCCTCCTCCTTATTACGAATCCGGCGGCTCGTCCTTTTAATCCCGCTATCCAGAGATACTGCCTTAAGGGAGTGATCTCTGTATTTCTCCATCAGGAGTGTTCGTCTTTTTCATTCAAAAGACTAAGCGGTACAACGCTTCCAGGCAGGGTCATGTATCTTCTTGCGGTTACCAGCCCTTGCCTTCTCACAGGTGAATCCCGTGGCCTCCAACGACCACTCCATGGACGAAGCACAACATAAATCCCGAGGCCGCTGCTGTGACCCATCCCCATCAGACTCTGTCGATAAACAATATCGACAACTTGCCCAATCTCCCGCGCCCGCACACAGGTTCAGGTTGAACCCGTCCCCAGCCTATTCTGTTCGATCTTTTTTTTTCGAGCAGATCGTCCATCATACCGCAACTGAGGCGTCATACGAAGCTTCTCATAATCAAATTTGGTTCTAATTTTGATAACGTTAACCTTGGTCCTCTTCTGCATTCAGTACGGCGGCTTTTGCGATCTTTGTGGTCACTCACTCCCTTGTGAGATCGGCGTGGCGTGGCGTTGAATGGTCACAGGAAGGTAGATTTCGTTCAAGCCTTGTCAGCCACTGACTGCAGGCTACAATGCAATGGCCCCTATATGCACAATTTAAGACCCTGCAGTTACCTCCTCTTCACAACTAAGTGTTGACCACAAAGTCATTCGAATCGAATTATCTATCATCATCGCACCTCACCCTAGCAAGCTTGATGCTTACTGTTCGCGACACTGCTGCTGCTCCTTCTCCTCCTACGATCCTTCTGCCGGAAAGTACCCCAGGGGTCTCAGTGGGTATGATTGTTGTCAAGGTTTACGCGTTTGGAGGATTGACCTTTGTGATGGGCATCATTGTATGCGGCTTTGGATGGTGGTTCTGGAATGTGGTTATTAAGCGACAGGCGAGGGACTTCCCACCAGATCTGGAGAACTATGTGTGTAGTTTTATCCCTCTGTGGCTTGTTTTTTAAGCGAAGGTCGCCTCCAGGAATCCAGCAGCGCCTTGACCCCTGGACCATTGCTCAACGGCAACCTCACTCCCGCGCCCACAAAATCCTCTCGGGGCAGAAAATCAAGCCTGTCAACAAATCATTCGCCAAAGGGCAAGCGAGTGAGCTGGGCCTCCTCCACTGCCACGCTTGACGTAGATGGAAATGCTTCAATCAAATCTGTGGCTGACGCGGAGGGTAAAGAATTTGACGATGAACGTATGATCTCTCCCCGTCCTCCCACCCCAGGGCCTACATCGCCTACTTCATCGTTTCCCTTTTCTCCGACGATCTCTGGTCCAACAACTCCTTCAAACCCGCCGCTCAGCCCCGCTCCAAGAGTTCACACGCAGATTCCAAGGACGCTAACAAGCATTGAACCTCGGGCGCCCCGTGGCCAGATGATGATTGCCACCACGACGCCGGACGTCTGTGAGAGCTGGTCGAAGCCTACGCAGTTGCAGTGCAGTTTCTCGGATTCCATCTCGCCCTTAGATACATCCACGCACCCGTAAGACTAGTTGTGAGCTGTGTTCAAATCATTCATTACACGCGCACGTATCACCAATGCAATTTGAGTAGCACGACGATCATTGGCGAGGATGGGTCAGAATTAATGGTTAAAGGAAAGGCGATAGAACGGCCTAAAGATAACACAAGTATAAAGTCAACGTCGGTTCAACGCACACTTTTCGTGGGTTTTTGAGATCGCCCAATAGCATACAACGCCCACGAAGACCATTCTTTTTTGGAGCCATCATTAGTTACTATAATTGCGAGGAAATACAATTTTTTCGCCATATACAACCGTTATTTTACAAGGATTTTACCTTGGACCGGTCTCCAATGGCCTTGCCGTGCCCATGGGATGCTTTGCAAATATTCCGAAGAATCACCTTGATATCTACAATGGTTGTAGATCCAATCTTGACGCAGATTCTTGTATAACGGCATCATCGCCTTCATCGGCTCAAAACTGACAGGGTGCGACAGCCGGCGGTACGAAAGAAAAGTGGAAGGTCAAATCTCGGGTGTGGGGGATCAGTGCACTGAGTCAACGCACCATCCGGCGGTGTGCGTACTCGGTACCTTATGTCCGTTTATCCACGCGAATCTACTACAGTCATGGACAAGCAAAGCCCACTAATTTGGTATCTTGGTAAATAATGTATCTAGAGCTGAGATTTTTCCAGATTCTGGCTCAGATTTGCGAAATGCGTCGAAAAACGCACCTCCGAAGTTTTTCCCACGAGGAATTGGCGTGGCCAAAATTTTGGACCAAAAAACTGCAACATTTGGGGAGAAAAACAGGTCGAAACCGGCCAGAAATTATCGAAAGTTGGTACCTGTGCTGGGCTTCGGCTGGAAGCTACTCAGAAAGGGCAAAGAATCTATCAGAAAGGGATTTNCCTGCATTTCGAAAGCCTAGTG